GTTTTGAATGAACAGCATGTTAAAATTTATGAATGCGTCTGTGGGGTTGACCGCTGAATGTAATGGACTTGAGTCGAGGATGGGTTGAAGTTTGAGACTCAGACGAGCCATAGAGAGGTTACAAAGTTTTCTTTTAGCGTAATAGTCAGCCCGTCCTCCAAACAAAGATCCAAAAGTGATTCCATTCACCCGCCAAACCCCCTGTTTATGAATGAAAAGTGGTTTACACACGACTCACAACTGTTGACGTTCGAACATATCCGGAACAAGTGCTTCACTGACGAATTTTGTTCGAATCACAACGCTATAAACAGCCCGTCCTCCAAACAAAGATCCAAAAGTGATTCCATGCACCCGCCAAACCCCCTGTTTATGAATGAAAAGCGGTTTACACACGACTCACAACTGCTGACGTTCGAACATATCCGGAACAAGTGCTTCACTGACGAATTTTGTTCGAACCACAACGCTGTAAATGCTTCACCCACGTACTACAAATACAAATAATCGCCAACAGAACCTAAACACCTGACCTAACCTAACCTATGCCTATATATACACAATATGCTAATATATTATAATATTAATTTATACTTGCGAAAATTCCCGTTTTGAATGAACAGCATGTTAAAATTTATGAATGCGTCTGTGGGGTTGACCGCTGAATGTAATGGACTTGAGTCGAGGATGGGTTGAAGTTTGAGACTCAGAAGAGCCATAGAGAGGTTACAAAGTTTTCTTTTAGCGTAAGAGTAGTGGGCAAATTAAATGAAGTAAAGGAGAAGGCAATCGTAGAAGCAAACGGCATTCACAATTTTAAAAGTAAATATTACAGGGAAATAGGTCAGCAGTCATTGCATTACAGACGGATAGAAAGGCGGGGTCCAAAAGCTAAAGTCTGTACAGTTGACCGCTGCGCAAATAGGTGTGAACAGTCATTGCATTACAGACGCGTTCGCGCGCACACACACACACGAGAGAGAGAGAGAGAGAGAGAGAGAGAGAGAGAGAGAGAGAGAGAGAGAGAGAGAGAGAGAGAGAGAGAGAGAGAGAGAGAGAGAGAGAGAGAGAGAGAGAGAGAGAGAGAGAGAGAGAGAGAAAAGGGGGGGAGGGAGCGCCAGACCGGCAATATTTGTAATATGGTTCAACTTATCGTACCTATATTTGACAACAATACCCGGGTTCACTTAGTACCAATAGCATAACACTGCGCTCAGTAACGTTAATCGAAATACCGTAAACAAATAATTAATCACATAGGCTTTTAGCCAACCAAGAGGGCCGACCACAGGAGCTGCTGCGGGGCCCAATTGGCAACATTTTTGGCGAGGTCTTCAGCTTCACAGCCAAGGTCGGTTTTAGTGAAACGATTTATTAAACATAAAAATAATAATAATTATTATGAATTAATATTTTTTGTTTTATAAAACAGCATTAATTGTAAACTAATTATCTAAACTTATGTAAACTTCTAAACTTACCTTTATTATAGAAATGTTATCTTTCTTACATACATTGACTACAGTATGGAAGCCTACAGCGTACATAAACATTAGCTTGAAAGTTTGTGTTGGTTTATGACAAGCGTTTACGGGTTCGGCTCTGCCAGAAGGCAGTTTTTCTTGGCAAGACTCGAGTATATTACTCTTGCGCGGGGCCCAATTGGGAGCAATAAATATACTCACCAATACTGCTACGTGACCTTTAATTCATTACATTTGGATTACATAGGCGAACTCAAAAATACAGCTGAACTAAGATGAAAATGAGATAATTGAGATGTTAAAATATAGTGCTAAGTAATTATCAACAGAAGGCGGCAGCATCATGTACTCACCTAGTTGTGCTTGCGGGGGTTGAGCTCTGGCTCTTTGGTCCCGCCTCTCAACCGTCAATCAACAGGTGTACAGATTTCTGAGCCTATTGGGCTCTATCATATCTACACTTGAAACTGTGTATGGAGTCAGCCTCCACCACATCACTTCCTAATGCATTCCATTTGTCAACCACTCTGACACTAAAAAAGTTCTTTCTAATATCTCTGTGGCTCATTTGGGCGCTCAGTTTCCACCTGTGTCCCCTTGTGCGTGTGCCCCTTGTGTTAAATAGCCTGTCTTTATCTACCCTATCAATTCCCTTGAGAATCTTGAATGTGGTGATCATGTCCCCCCTAACTTCTGTCTTCCAGCGAAGTGAGGTTTAATTCCCGTAGTCTCTGCTCGTAGCTCATACCTCTCAGCTCGGGTACTAGTCTGGTGGCAAATCTTTGAACCTTTTCTTGTTTAGTCTTATCCATGACTAGATATGGACTCCATGCTGGGGCTGCATACTCCAGGATTGGCCTGACATATGTGGTATACAAAGTTCTGAATGATTCTTTACACAAATTTCTGAATGCCGTTCGTATGTTTGCCAGCCTGGCATATGCCGCTGATGTTATCCTCTTGATATGTGCTGCAGGAGACAGGTCTGGCGTGATATCAACTCCCAAGTATTTTTCTTTCTCTGACTCCTGAAGAATTTCCTCTCCCAGATAATACCTTGTATTTGGCCTCCTGCTCCCTGCCCCTATCTTCATTATATTACATTTGGTTGGGTTAAACTCTAACAACCACTTGTTCGACCATTCCTGCAGTTTGTCTAGGTCTTCTTGAAGCCTCAAACAGTCCTCTTCTGTCTTAATCCTTCTCATAATTTTGGCATCGTCCGCAAACATTGAGAGAAATGTTTAAGTAACAATTGTAATTACGAAGCTATAAGATGCTTATTTTAACATACTAAGTAGGTTAGGTAAGGTCGGTGTTTTCTATGAAGCTTTTCAAGGGAAACTATTATGTTTAGTATGTCACCTATGCACATATTTAATAAGTCAATATTGACTTATTAAATTTGCGAGAACTAGTATAGGTTAAGTAATAATTGTAATTACGAAGCAATAAGATGCTTATCTTAACATACTAACAAGGTTAGGTAAGGTCGGTGTTTTCTATGAAGCTTTTTAAGGGTATCTATTATGTTTAGTATATCACCTATGCACGTAGTTAATAAGTCAATATTGACTATACGATTTTGCGAGAACGGGTTGCACAGTATAATGGTCCAAGCTGTTTCCTTCTCATTTTTATTCTCGCCGCCAGAGGAGGGTAAGTTATTATTCACTTAATGTCTTGGACCAGTAGCAAGTCGAGTTGTTCGTCTTCCCGGGAATTTTAGGGAGAAGGAAAGTTCCTACAAGAATAAACAGTTACAGGGAATATATACAACAGTAAAGGATCTTGAGGTGTGCGAACAGCAACACAATGCAACCACCAATGAGCTGTGGGGATAAGATCAAAATTAGAAAAATGTCAGACAATTGAAAGAAAAATCTTATATATCCAGGTAATCGTGTCACATTCTCTTAAGTTATCAAGGACGGCCATTACCAATAAACCCACAGAAAAAAGTATTACTTGTGTAAATGTTAATCCTCAAGTAATAAGTAAGTACTGTAATTATCAAAAGAAGGCCACCAAGCCGGGAAGGCTATGTAGCCCTCAAGTAATAAACAAATCTTTCTAAAGCTAACGATATGGACACTATCCACATACATTCCCTCAGTTCCCCATAGAGGGCTGAAATACACTTGAATAACTCTCTCATATTTTGATTTTTAGTATTTTTGTTGGGGTTTTCGTAATGAACGGGGTAGGGTTTTTTTTTTTTTACTGTATCAACAAATTAACAGATTTGTCCTATATAAATGAATATATGTTTCTGCCTTTTCAGACATGCAAATATAAAATCAATTGTTTAAAGTCCTTAATACCCATTGTTTAAAACATTCTTTAAGCTGCAGACTGTGCCACAAACAGCCAGCCTTAGTTTACAATGCTGCATTAATAATTGGTAAACAGCAGTATTGAAATTATGCTTGGAAGGTTTCAGTGATTTTTTGTCATTTCTCTCGCAAACTATATGACTGCTCGCAGCTTGACGTACGAATCACAGCCTGGTTGATCAGGGATCATTTGGAGGTGTTTATCAAGTTATCTCTTGGACACTGTGAGGGGGACAGCCAGTTATGCTCCTTATGTGTAGCGGAAGCGTGTTGAACAGTCTCAGGTCTCTGATATTGATAAGGGTTGACTTTGAGTACCTATTGCACCTCCGCTCTTCAAAAGGGGGTATTCTGCACATCCTGCCATGCCTTCTGGTCTCATGTGTTGGTTATTTCTGTGTGAGCAGATTTGGGATCGGCCCCTCTTAATATTTTTTGTGTAAATTATTATCTCTCCCCTGCCTGCTCTCTAGATAATACAGATTTAGGCATTTTATTCAGTTTCAATAGCCTAGATGTTTTACCGTGTGGATTCTAGCAGTAAAGCATCTCTGCATGCTCTCCTGGTCAGCAATTTCTCCAGCTTTGAAAGGGGATATCATTGTGCAACAGTATTCCACTCTACAGAGCACTAGCATCTTGAAAAGTATCATTGGTATAGCATCTCTAATTAGAAAGGTTCTTGTTATCCAACCTGTCATTTTTCTTGCAATTGACACACTTTATTGTGTTCTTTAAAGTTAAGGTCTTCTGACACGAGTACACCCAAATCCTTTACATTGTTTTTTAGTTCTATGGTATGATTTGAGTGCATTTTGTTCAGTTTCCATTTTCATATTTCCATAGCGCAGGAGCTGTAACTTATCTTCATTATATATCATATTTTCTGTAGCCCATTGAAAGACCTGATTTACATCTATCTGATTGAAGGCTTGCTGTGTCCTCAATGTTGTCTACTCTCATGAAAATCCTAGTGTCATCTGAAAAGGATGAGTTGGTACTTCTTGAAATTAATTTTCCCATATTTAAATAATAATTTCAGTACAGGTACTTTGTTAATCAGAAATATTGTATAAGTGCAGAAATGTCATCTTTAAGCAAAAACAATTTACAGTTGCATGCAAGGATCAGCCTCATGTAGTGAATGGAAGTTAAAATTTTTTAATAGTTATTTAAACAATTTCAGAGTTTAGGATTTTATTTGTATATACAATTCTAGGCCGTTTATACAGTGCACATGACACACGAGCCTCTGCTCTACACACTGGAGAAGGTGCACCACCCACGTCCCTTTCATTACCCCATTACCTTCTGAGGACCTCTGCAGTACTTCCATTATACAAGGCCTCACAGAGTCCTAGAGAGGAGGTATTTTGACCTGCATTTTGACCTTGGAGCAAATATCTATGCTACATCGATATGTGGAATATGAGACCTGGGTAATACAAAAACCACTCCATGTCTACATGGAAAATGATGGCAATGCTTAGAGGATTACCTAATTTTCATCTTGTCACTGACTATAAAATAAGTTTTCTTTACTAAATTGGGCATACATGATCACAGTAGTAAGTAGTTCCAGTGTGTTGATGTATTTCACATTGTCTAAAAGCTATTTCTTTGCCAGATATATAATTCTGGTGATATATACCTACAATATTATCCCTATGTTGAATATTTCACTTCAAGGTTCTACAGGTCAAAGTGGGATGTGATGCCGAGATAGAACAGCACAAAATCTAATTCACTACTTATAAACTGCACTTCGAGTGTTTAAAACTTGTGAAATCATATATATAATATATACTTCTTTGCATCACTATCAAAGTGTAAAAAACACGCTGTTTTCCAATTGGCTATATACTATTTTACTCAAGGAGTCTTACAAAATTCCAGCCTGAGGTACAAGACCTGGGTACATGTATCTCCATCTTGCAGCCCAACTTTACCTTCGGTTGTGACCTATGTATCAATCCATGAATTGCATTTGTAGATTCTATACATTATTTTACCTCTATATGCGTACAATGCAAAGTTTGGCAATAATATTGATCTTACATAAGTCACAACTGACCATTATTTGAGCTCTAAGATGTATCAAACAGCATTTATCTTCCCAACCCTCACACTATATGCCCAGGAAAATAGAAACTATTTTCTTTGTGTTTTTTCTGAATGATGATAAAATACCAGTTCCATTATACCTAGCCACTGGCAATTATACATGGTTCACTCAAAGGCATATTAAGAAGGATACACACATTTGTGTCAAGTAAATATACGAAACTAGCAGTACACTTACGTTTTGATTACCAACTTTCAAAATAGAAAATTTTCAGTGCTACATTTTATATAACAGTACCATATACAGTGCTGTATATAACTTTTACCCCCTTTATCTAATAACATTTTAGAGCATCGATTACCAAAAAAGTTCCCATAAAAATATAGAAAATTTAAAATAATATGGATGGGATATTTTTCTCGATTCAACCGATATAAAACTACTCGTACTCTCTGGCTCGTATCTTTACCTGTCACAGTAATACCAGTCCTACAACTGCACTCTCTAAGTACACATGGATTAGAAGATGTGCATCCTAAAACGAATACAAATCTTTGTTCTGGCATAAGAAAACTATTGCATAAGCAAACACATACCAGCATACAGTCTGTCTAAAGGTGAGGAAGAGAGGAAAGAGTGAGAAAAAGAAGTTACAACTGTCTGCCTCCAATCTCTCTATAGGTTTAGTGGCATTATTAGGTATGGGCCCCCCACCCTAATTCTTTTGACGTTATGTCTTTAATGCACACAAAATGCTGCTAATACTTTTCATTTTAGTTTAAAGGAAGGGGGGAGCCTAATTACAATAATTATGGAAGCACACTTGAACACTAAGGTAACACTTCAATGTGATAAAGCATTACAGATTCTTTTTTGTGCACTACATCTCTCAGAATTAAAAATATTAGCATGTGTCTGCTAGTAGAATGCCTTTCTTATAAAGCAAGGGCAATCAAAATATATTACGTCATTGTTTGTCATTCAAGCATACTCTAACCAAACACACACTTAACATGAGTATCTTCTCTGGGCTTTTTATGATTAATAGTCGGCTGATTGCATCTCTTTCAAATCATTCTTTCATCTTGCTGGCACATATACATATACCATTTTGAACTCAATTATATGAAAACAAAAATTAAACACATATATGGCACATTGAGCAACAGTAACATCGCTATTTCTATATAGGAAGATTCCATACAAAATGCGGGAGGGGATTTTTTTTACAGCTGTGTGACAGGTACAATGGGAAGGGGTTACTGAGGTATGTGTCACAGGGGCTAAGGGAAAGGAAGTGACAGGGGAAAACAGAGTCTGGGATGGAAATATTTATTACGAGACCTATGAAAATATCATACCGAGGCCGTCACACGGAACACGAGGTTGTCACAGAAAAAAACAACAAAGGCCATTTTGATGTTTAACTCCATATCACAGGAGCCACAAAAAAAAGGGGAATATTGAGGTTGTATAACAAGGACCACAGAACGGACACATGGATATAGTGTTACAAGGAACGCACTTAAAGTTGTGTCAACTTATACATCCCTGGATTCTTGGGATGGAGACAATTAGGCCGAGTCACAAAGAACACAGTGTCGTGGTTATATTAAAGAAAAAGACAAGAATAAAGTATACACTTTCGGTCACTGCATGAGTAAAGTAGCAGAGGAATGTAGAAAGAAAAACTATAGCGTGATGAAAGATACAGATTCAACATGAGCAGAGGAACTTATTCTTCATATTGAATATGGAAAGAAAAGTTGGTGGCCATGTGCTGCAGAGAATAAAGGAAACTCATTAGATTCAGACACTGTGGTTGGACATGCTACCTAAGAATGAAAAAATAAAGGCACTATCTAAATTCATCCTCACAAAGCTGCAGAAATATCATACCAATACTACATTTTGAAAGTATGTCATTTTACTGCAATGGGAGATGAAGCCACAGGTGTATTTTCTAGGCCCCTCCCAGGGTGTAAGCAGTAACATTAGGTTTATTTTGGTTTTAATCACAGTTATCTGTAGTGTTCCAATTCAGTATAAAATCTTAACAAAATTGAGACAACAAATATCTTCATATGTCACAAATACATTATAAAATGCAACTAAACTTCACATGCAAAAAAATACAACAGATCTTCAAAACAGAACACAGGAAGTGATCAGAAACAACTACAATTACTGCATATTGGTTTTTGTCAATCATTATTGTAATATATAAAAATCTTAACAGCTTAAATCCTAATTACGAACTGTACTCAATCATAACACTGCAAAATGACCCACACTACCTGTATTTAGGCCAGTTCTCCTGCATTCAACACATATGTACAAAGCCCTCACACATCCCAAACAGCATCTATGTACATCACTGGTACTAACGTAAACATGCACAGTCTTGTAGTTCGAGAACCACCATTCTTGTGCTTCAGTGTTTATCGTTTTGTGCCAATTTCTGGTTCTCTATAGCAAGTGTGTACTAACAATGAAAACAAGCATTTATCCACAGTGGTTTTCCTGTGCAATGTATATTAACAATACTGACCTACAAAATCATTTTCATCTTGTGCAGGAAATGTTTAGACAACCATCTGGTGTTGCCATACCATAAAATTGATGTGATACACATCACGTTTATATAAAAAATGAGGATAATTGTAAAGATGGAGCAGGATTAAATCAGGCCACATTATATTTTTCATTTCCACAGGGTTTTTCAAGACCACCCTCTATTTCACTTCACACACTTTTGATAAGAAGCCACTTTGGTCTACTTTCCAGGAATTGTACAGGTGCCCACATCATCACTTTTGAAGTCCACGGATAATTCATTGTAAATAGAAATATACTCCATTATAAGGCTATGGATTGATGTGGACAAATCACAGTACAAAAGGTGGGTGTGTTTATTTCAATTAATCTTAAACTGCCAATACTTCCAGTTTGGCAACAAGTACAGTGCACACTGACACTAATCCTGCTTGTCTAAATACTGGTTATAGATCAGAAGGCTGGTGGGTATTTGAGGTGGAGTCTATGTAGAAACTTTTGACATAGCTAAGGTGGTTTTGGGCGGTAGTTAGACTTCCGCCATGAGTGACTGAGACTCGATGGGAGCAGCCGAGTCATACAGGGTATCGGTATCTTGTGTTGGCTCTCCCTGTAACTGGCACTGGTTGTTTAATGTCCCGGCACCACAGTCACAGAAAAACCTGCGAATCAATTATTACAAAATTAAGTATTCTAACTGTACTGTATTGGTAATTACACCACCAAATAGCACAGTTAGTTATGCATTTTGAAGGTAGGAGGTCATATAGGAAGGTAGATTAGATATGAGGACCCATATGCAGGCGATGAGGGTCCTCATGATGGGTCAACATGAGGACCCATCTTCCCAAAACTCTGCCCCACTGAGGGTATAAATACCATTGTCTCTGGCCCTCCCACCTTCCCATACTTGCTCTGGTGACAGAAAGCAAAGACAGGTTTGTACGTGTGTGAAATGTAAGACAAGTGACTTGAGACCAAAAGTTAAAAGTGGGAAAGATTTTAACCCTTTAACAGCGCAAATTGTATACTGTACATACAATTTTGGTCTAACTGGCTGAACGGCGCATTGTATATACCGCATTTGCTGGCATAAAAGACGCACCCTCGCACAGGATGCACTCCTATTTTACAAGGATATTTTGAGGAAAAAACTATTTTAGTATGTTTCATCATACATTTATTGAAAGATATTTTAAAGTGGATTTTGTACTCCAACTCTTACCTCCTCTAAGCAGCTGTATAGTTGTTTATATTTTGGGCAAGAGAATTGCTAAACAGAACGTGATGTTTTGTGTTGCCGCATCAGGCCACTGGCGCACCATCACAACGCTCTGGTTTTGTTGTCATTCACTCATATGACAGGCGGATGAAAGCTTTCAAATTTCCAGGAGCATTTAGATGATGAATGTTTCTTAACACTTTGCTCACCCCGCGCGCCACCCCTCGAAGCGATATGGGCCCCGCGTGTCACGGAAGCGCGCGTTAATTCCGAAAAGTGTATACTCTCTTCAACTTTGTCACCTCAATTCTCCTTCTACGAGAATAAATTTGGTATCATTGTGTTCGCAATAAAATTCTCTACAGCACTAAATGCATATAAACTCCAAAAGCCCGGCTAATTACCCGCAGCAAACAGAGAAAGTGCGAACGAGTTACCCGGGAGCGCGCAAACGGGATAAAATGTTTTCACTATTTTCACTCTGGTCACCTCAATTTTTGTCCTAGGTCTTTCATTTTGGTCTCAATGGGTTCGTAATAAAATTCTCTAGAGGAACATTAGCATATAAAAAAAAAACACCTGGTCACGCTCCAACCGCCGACGAGTTGAAGACGGGCCACGCGTTAGCCGTGAGTGAGCGCTCAGAGGCCTTCCTACTACACTCCCAATTCCCACCCTTTTCAAGCCTTTCTTTCGCAATTTTCTTCCTGGAAGGGCCTTGTTCATGATTACTATCCATCGTGGAGTAAGCGTAGATAGTTTCTAAAGCCGCAGTAAGAAATATAGCCACGGAAAATAGCCGAAATGTTCACACGTTTGAGATGCGAGGGGAGACGACATTGGTCACAACAGTGGAGCAAAGACAATGGGCCCACGGCGTGTGCCAAGCCGCCTGAGGGCCACGAGGCTCAACAAAGGAAATGGGAAGACATCGGCGCACATTTTAAAACCAGTCCCCAAAAAATCGGATACAAACCTGATTTTTGGCGAATTTTTAAAGTGGATGACGCAATGCTGCGTCATCCCCGGCATTACCGCCAGTAAACGGATGACGCAATGCTGCGTCTGCGAAAGTGTTAAAGGTAACACAGTCGTTAAAAATGTATGACACATATCAGGTGTTGGTAATGTATGCTGGGTAAGGTGGTTTGATGATGTGAACTTCCTTCATAACTGCTGATGAATTGTAAGCAATTTTTCTTAAGTTTATCAAACTATCAAACAAATATCAAACAGACTGTGATAACCCTGCTCGTTTTCAATATTTTACTATTAGTAACACGACTTATTGTAATAATTTGTCTTTTTTTCAATATTTTATTATTAGCAAAGATTTTTATGCCTAGCGAATTTACCCAGTACGCTCCTCCGGCTCCCTAGTCTTGGAGCTCGGTCTCACATTCGTAATACGGCAGCATTAGACGCAGGGCTATTTTTTTATACATTTTAAAAATAAAAAAGTGCGTCTTATACGCCGGCAAATATGGTATACATTTTAAAGTACCCTAGCTACACAGGGTTCACATCAGCTTCTTCAGGGCACTAGTAAACAGATGCTATTAAAAAATAAAATAAAAAATCATGGGTAACAATTCTGGGTGTGAGCATCAGTACTACGTGAACATCCAAGGATGGCACAGCTTTATAAAACTCCTCATCCTGTTGCAGCAAAAATATATCGCCTACAATTGTATTATTATTTTTTCCATGATTAGGGAACCCATTTTAAATATCACAAAAGGAAATTTATTTTTCTTGCGCACAGCGGTGATGTCGGCTATTAATAGCAGTGCTGCCCAGGGGTTAAAGAAGGATAATCTAATGTGGAAGTGAGACAGAGTGGAATGGGTAAAGCGTTTAAAAACAGGAATGACAGAAGATGAGAGAAGGAGTAAGATGCTGCAGATTGTGGAAGGCAGTGTGATGCTAAAGCATTTGGAAGGTTGCGTATAATGCATAGCATGCAGAAGGTAATGAGCAGAGAATACTACGTAGCACCATAAAAATCAGTGTGATGCTACAGCATGTGGAAAGTCGCACATTGCTATAGTGTGTGGAAGGTAGAGTGATGCAACAGTGTGTGGAAGGTAGCACATTACTAGTGTGGAAGATAGCATAATGCAAGTGTATGGCAGACAGCACGAAAATGCTAGTGCGTGGCAGACAGCACAAAAATGCCAGTGTGTGGCAGACAGCACGAAAATGCTGGTGCATGGCAGATAGCACGAAAATGCTGGTGCGTGGCAGACAACACAAAAATGCTGGTGCGTGGTAGACAGCACGAAAATGCTGGTGCGTGGCAGACAGCACGAAAATGCTGGTGCGTGGCAGACAGCACGAAAATGCTGGTGCGTGGCAGACAGCACGAAAATGCTGGTGCGTGGCAGACAGCACGAAAATGCTGGTGCGTGGCAGACAGCACGAAAATGCTGGTGCGTGGCAGACAGCACAAAAATGCTGGTGCGTGGCAGACAGCACAAAAATGCTGGTGCGTGGCAGACAGCACAAAAATGCTGGTGCGTGGCAGACAGCACAAAAATGCTGGTGCGTGGCAGACAGCACAAAAATGCTGGTGCGTGGCAGACAGCACAAAAATGCTGGTGCGTGGCAGACAGCACAAAAATGCTGGTGCGTGGCAGACAGCACAAAAATGCTGGTGCGTGGCAGACAGCACAAAAATGCTGGTGCGTGGCAGACAGCACAAAAATGCTGGTGCGTGGCAGACAGCACAATGCTGGTCTCAAAATTAACAATTTGAGGCTGCATCACACCTGTGTCCCATTATCACGTCAGGCATACACCCATCATGGTTCAGTCGATAGTGTGCACCCCTAAAGTGATCAAGGACGCGGGCCTAACTCTGTCATACAAAATGTATACTGTACATTAATTTTAAGAAACTCCTGATCATCCTTAATTGTGCCCAACTCTTAAGACAATTGTAACATGCTTTTGTTTAAAGCTAGACGTGAGTACAACAAAATTATTAATGATGGTGGCAGTTCATTTCATGTGGATTCCATCTCATGTTGGCCTTTGAAAGAACGATAGAGCTGATGAGTTTGCAAAAAAAAAAAATTCTTTTAAAGATATTGACTAGATAACCTAGGACTGCCTACAAGAAGTTCAAAATCAACAATACACCAAGAATTCCAACAAAATTAAAATCAGCATTAGCAATTCCATCCATTATCACATAGATATATCTATGTGATATATCACATACATACATACATACATACACACACACACATATATATATATATATATATATATATATATATATATATATATATATATATATATATATATATATATATATATATATATATATATATATATATATATATATATATATATATATATATATATATATATATATATATATATATATATATATATATATATATATATATATATATATATATATATATATATATATATATATATATATATATATATATATATATATATATATATATATATATGTCGTACCTAGTAGCCAGAACGCACTTCTCAGCTTACTATGCATGGCCCGATTTGCCTAATAAGCCAAGTTTTCCTGAATTAATATAGTTTCTCTAATTGTTTTCTTATGAAATGATAAAGCTACTCATTTCATTATGTATGAGGTCAATTTTTTTTTATTGGAGTTAAAATTAACGTAGATATATGACCGAACCTAACCACCCCTACCTAACCTAACCTAACCTATCTTTATAGGTTAGGTTAGGTTAGGTAGCCAAAAAAGTTAGGTTAGGTTAGGTTAGGTAGGTTAGGTAGTCGAAAACACATTAATTCATGAAAACTTGGCTTATTAGGCAAATCAGGCCTTGCATATTAGGCTGAGAAGTGCGTTCTGGCTACTAGGTACGACATATATATATATATATATATATATATATGTCGTACCTAATAGCCAGAACGCACTTCTCAGCCTACTATTCAAGGCCCGATTTGCCTAATAAGCCAAGTTTTCATGAATTAATGTTTTTTCGTCTACCTAACCTACCTAACCTAACCTAACCTAGCTTTTTTTGGCTACCTAACCTAACCTTACCTATAAATATAGGTTAGGTTAGGTTAGGTAGGGTTGGTTAGGTTCGGTCATATATCTACGTTAATTTTAACTCCAATAAAAAAAAATTGACCTCATACATAGAGAAAAGGGTTGCTTTATCATTTCATAAGAAAAAAATTATAGTAAATATATTAATTCAGGAAAACTTGGCTTATTAGGCAAATCGGGCCTTGAATAGTAGGCTGAGAAGTGAGTTCTGGCTACTAGGTACGACATATATATATATATATATATACGACAAAAATAAAAACTAATGGAAAAGTCTGTAATTTTACACAATGTTGTCTGAAAATAAAGGCTTATAGTTTAATGTTATATCCCCCAATATACAGTACTCATAAAGGAGAAAGAAATATGCACAGTAAAGTCTTTAAAACACTATACAGACCTGTCATGACGGATGAACTCAACTACATGGCCACTATGACATGTTTTAATGCAGTTTACACATATAGCATTTCGCTCAGTGGTATTACACGTGCGGCACCGGTAGAAGTCGTGCATGGGGAAGCTGGTATATGACGATATCTTGTATAGGCACTGTCCGCTTGATACAGCTTTCTCTACTGCATCATGGTTATTAAAAATTTTATTGCCTGGAAAAACACACACATATGAATTGAGGAAATATAATGACACCAATATATTATACTACAAGCATAACTCTGAAAGCATTTAGGTAGAAATTAACAAAAATCAGAGGCTTTACAATAAAATGCAAGAGAATGGTAAAAATAAGAAATAGGTCTTAATGTATCAAGAATGCCAACTTCAAACTTATGTTCTGTTACCTAGATTGAGAACTTGGTATATATATAATCATTGAGGGAAAATATTATGTCAGGATGGCTGTATAACAACTGAGGACTAAGCTAAGGAGAGATATTAAGGAGAAACAGAAAAATATGCATTATGTGAATACAAAATGGTTGCAATTTATGTAGAAAAATGTATTTTATCTCAAAATGCAAACAATACACAAGTACTTCAGTGATTTCTACATCAAAAATACATTAACTAGATATATTCTACAATATGACAATTATTATTTGAGGTGTTGGCATATGGTTTGTAGGCAAGAGTTAAGTAAATAAGCAATTATCAAAAGAAAATGTAATATGGGCCCAAAAGGACATAAGGTAAACAGTATCAAAGACAATGGATTCAACAGGATTCTATCGACGAACAAATGGTCTCAAGGGACAATAGAAAAAGTAAGACTTATGATTGAACTGAAAACCGAGACATTCTACAAGGTGTACAACAAAGAGGGACAATGCAATTTGGACAATAAGGCTCAGGGCAGTGCTCCATTAAGCACCCATGAGTTAAACGTGTGTGGCCAATATGTAATGCAACCAGAGCCATTTCCCACCATCCATTACGCTGGTAGGAGAAACAAGGTGATAGGGTTACCATTAAGAATGCACAGTTCTTAAAGGTACCTTTAATGGCAGACCAGTGACCCTGCTAATTGTTGCTAGCAGGGTGACTGGGCATGAAATGAATGATTGAGCAGAAATCTGAATAAGGAATACATCTTTTGGAAAAATGACAAGTACAAATGACAAGGTGAGGCATGTGATGCTTAACAATGTCTACAAAGAGCAAGATATATGCTGTTCATCGGCATATATCTGATGTACCCATCTCCTGTGGATGTGGTTAGGGTATGCAGGTGATAGCAGCTTTGATAGCAGCAGCTGGGCCACCACAGGTGCTCGGCCAATCAGCTTAGATTAAGGCTTGCTTGTAACATTTAGAAGTTCATCTAACTTATAACCGGCGTGTGAGTGGTGATGTGGATGTACTAAGCATGATTGTTAGGGAGTGAGATCACGCTTTTTAAGGACCACCCCACCTGGCCATTTATACAGTACTTGGAACATCAATTACACACCAGGAGGTTATTGTTTACATCTTATTATTCTTGAAGGTGGAGATGGAAATAGCTTTGACAATTCTATCTCCAATGCATTCCACATGCAAACCATCCTTGTTCATGTCATCCATGCTCCTCAGTATCTTGCACATAATATCATATTCCTTTTGTTTCTTCTCTCTATAAGATTGGGAGGTAGAATTCCCTTAACCTGTCCCTGTAACTATGTCCTCTCATTTCATGTGCTAACCTAGTTGCAAAGTCCGAAGTCTTTGGTACTAACCAAAGTTGCAAATTTGAGACCATTACGTTACATACTCCTAGTAATATAAAGGTCTCAAATAAGCATTGCATAAGGATTTAAAAAACATCAGTGTTTAGGTTCTTAGGTTTTTTTTTTTTGTGCTTACCAAATTCCCATATGCTGCTGACATCCTGCTCCTATGAGCTTAGTGTTGGAATTCTATCCACTCCCAGAATTTTATAAAGTAGTTTCTTGTAATTGCATTTTCCTTAGGGTGTAGTTACCTACAGGTAACTTTCCTATCTTCATTTCCATATGCTTATTTGAATTGAATCTCAGCAGCTATTTAATCTGTCCACTTCTGAAGCTTGTCAACCTCCTTTTGTAGTGCACTTTTGTATGTGAAGTACTAAGGGTTTGGTGTGTGGTTGCAGCTTTCCTGATAGTGGGAAGGTATGCAGTACAAAAATAATGTTGTTGTTGCAGTTTTTTCTTCTATTATAAAATGTACAAACATCTACTGGCCACGAACTAGTTAGTGACATAATGAATGTGTACAGCGCTACTGTTCAAGATGGTCTAGCAATTGAGGTGTTGTACTTGGATACGATGTTAACATCCACAAGCACGCCGACGCTGCTGTTAACATCTGCTGTTCGGTTGAGTGCTGAGCAGTATGCAGTGGATGAGTGAACTCACTACACATGTCCAACATCGCTGTGTGTTTTGTTAATGCATCCTGTTTCTTCCCAATATAACCGAAATCTTAATTTGTGCAAATTGTCTTTGCACAATGTTCCAGGAAAACAACCCTTACACAAATTGAGGGAATAATGTACTGACTTCACTAAACTTACATGTATATAAAAAGTAAAAAATGCACTTTACTAATACTGGAAATAAATAGAATGAGTGCAAGGGAATCAATTTTCATGACAAGCTAACACTACAGGTCATGGAGTTCAAAACCACTTTACTGTAGTGACTCAATGTACCTGGAAAGAGTTTCGAGAGTTGTTCTACCCCGAGCCCAGCCTGGGGCCAGGCTCGACTTGTGATAACTTGATCCAACAGGTTGTTGCTTGGAGCAACCTGCAGGCCCACATATCCACTACAGCCTGGTTGGTCTGGCACTTCTTACAAGAACCTGTCCAAGTGCCTCTTGAATACCTCTACCTCCGTTCCAGCAATATTTCTAATGCTTGATGAGAGGGCGTTGAACAGCTGTGGACCCCTGATGTTCAGACAGTGCGCTCTGATTGTGCCTATGGCACCTCTACTCCTCAATGGTTCTATTCTGCATTTCCTTCCGTATCTTTCCCTCCAGTATGTTATTCTACTTTGCAAATTTGGGACCTGGCCCTCCAGTATCTTCCATGTACTGTATATATTATTTGATATCTATTTGATATCTCATCTCCTTTCCAGAGAGGGCATTTCGAGAGCTTTGAGATGGTTCCAATAATTCAGATGTTTTATCGTTTCCATGTAGAAATACAAATATATTAAATAAAAATACAAATATATTAAATAGAATTACAAATATAAAAGACTAACCTCTTTGGGAAGGATTCACTCCTGATGCTAAACAAAGACCACCAAAACGATTATTAAATATTTGGTTGTACTCTAAGGTGGCTGTGGCATTATTTGTTATTTCGATGCCTGCTGCCAACCCGTCATATATCTGGTTCCTTTTTAAACTAGGGTGGCTTTGAGTTGGATGACTCTGGGTGGATATTAGAACACCTGCCTGTGCATTACGAAATATATCATTCTCTTCTAGCACACCTGCAAAAAATGAAGAGGAAGCATCTCTCACACATCCTTTCCGCCATGAAAGGTTCAAATTATATATTTAGGCATTGCAGTTGTTTACAACCATAAAATATGACAAATTTACTAAATTACATCTTTCACAACTTACCTTTCCCACCATTAAATATACAAATGCCAGCTTCTCTTCCATCATATATTTTGTTTCGTCGTAGAATGGGATTACTGTCAGTCTTGATCCACACACCAGCCATAGCATTGTCAAATATCTCATTTTGTTCAAGAAGCCCCAAACCCCCATTATAAACTAAAACTCCGCCATTCTGTCCTCCCCATATCTTATTTCGACGGATGTTTGGATTGCTCCCAGTCCTGCAATATAAGAGAAAGGTTGCCATTGCATCTTGCCCTCTTCCCGCTTTCGTTCCCCGAATATATATTTTGCATACTGCCACCATGGATTCAAGAAATGCAGGAAACCTCATGTTCAGGGCTTCAACAAGATGTGCAACCAAGAGGAAACCATGTGATGAATTTTGAGCAAAAAATATATAACAATTAATTCAATCTGGTGTTCCTAGAAGTCATGTGCACTTCTTAATGCTCTTCTTGTGTTGGGTAGAAATTAGTACTGCCATACAAATTGGAGCTACCTCGTATGAGCCAATAAGGCAGATGCAGTTTCCTTTATTTCTATGTTGGATATAAATACGAGCTGCCTTATCTCATCTACTTTATCTAAAATTAGATCGTTTGAAGTAATCATTAGGTCCCTGGGCTGTGGCTAACATTTGCATTTATATTACTTTTCCAGTGTGATTTTTATTATATGCAAAAACAAGTTATAATGCATTTGTGGCTGGAGAATTCAGAGAAATAATAATGCCCAGGTACACAACTGTATTGAATGGAGAGAAAAAAATATTTTTGGGAAATCACTGTAATCCCATTTTAAAGATATATCTTCAAGATTGATTTGCACAGTACTTGACAATAAGGGCTGCTTGTGTATGATACTGCTGTGCATTATCAATGTGGCCTAAGATCAATATATACACCATATTAAAGTGTCCAAAGATTAAATTTATATAGGCAAGCTTAAGTTTTATAAAATGACAGTTAATCACATATTATCATACTGTATGTAAATTGTTATAATTTAAATATGAACACAATTATAAAGATATTAAGGATAACTTACCTAATTTGTACACCTGAGTATAAATGGTTGAAGATATCATTATCTTCTAGTAAGCCATGGCCATTATCATAAAAATAAACTCCCACCTGCTTCCCAGAATGAATACGATTCCTTCTTAAAGTTGGCGTGCTCCCTGGAGTGAGAGAACAAGAGAGTGGGAGAAATAGAGAGAGAGAGAGAGAGAAAGAGTTTAGTTTAGTGTTAAAAAAAACAATAGATACAAATAATGCATTGTCATAACCACACAAATCTGAACAGCAAAACTAAACACAAGAAAAATCCTTACAGAACCTTCCCAAAGCACATATGTATATGTGAATTCTTCAAAATTCTTCATTCTTCAAAATGAATACTGCATAACCCAGTTAATAATAATTCTTATAAAAACACAATAAATGTTTAGGTTATAAGCAACAACAACTCCCCCTTCATTTTCATATGATGTACAAAAAAAAAAAAAAGATTATTAGGTCCCATTTACACATGGGACTGCAAAATACTAAATCAACACATTATAAGATCCAAAATTTCAAGCAAGCAAGTACAAAAATTATAGATCACCACAAAACAAGCAACACCTGTAATTAACAATTTTAATAATAAAGTGCCAATCTGATTCATGGTTCTCTGAAATATTTCAGCATACTGTATTTAAGTTATTACTTTGCAAGAGAAATCTTGCTTAAGACCAGAAGCTTAAAAGTTTTGAGCTTGAATACAATTATGAAATTCTTTCTGGTTTCACTCCGAGGTAATGTAGTGAATGATTCTTATATTCTCCATTTCTACTGGTCACATTCCAGAGTAAATAACAATACGTACCTAGCTTTTCCAGCAGCAGCCTCATGATTCTTACTGCCCACTTTCAATTTTTATGTTATATATTTTTTATCTTAGAATTCATTTTGTACAGGTACATGTAACATTAAACTCCTGTAATAAAGTTTAGAAAGCATCATTTTGATCATTTAATCCAATTAAAATACTGTGTTTTAATTGATTTAAAATCCTACAACACCTACATGCGCACAATTTATTCAATGTATGAACAATGACACATAGCTCCTTCAAATTGCCTTTACATTATATTCCATCAAGAAAGAGATGAAAAGGCAAGTATCACTAATATGCCAATCATAGGCTAAAGTAGTATAGTCTTTTAAAAATGAGTTTCTTGATGTTTTTAATCTAGTAAATAAAAACTGCTGAAGCTTCTTTTATGGTAATCAAATATGTGGTAAGATCTTACCTGTGGTAATCCAGACTCCAGCAAGTGTGTTGGCATAAACTTCGTTACATTCTATGAGGCCTTGACCCTTTTCATGAACATATATACCTCCGTGCTGACCATCATGAATCTTATTGTGCCGTACTATGGGATCACTGTTGGTGCGGATCTGAATACCAGCTAATGCATTACCTATAGATAAAAAAAATAATCAAGAAACACTTTGAATTGTGAGGGTTTGCTTCCTAATCCTTGTTAATGTCAGCCACTTTATTAAATAACATTTCCTGTAATCCATGAAATTTATTATGAGAAATACTCCACTGTCAAAAAGACTGCTGCTATACAATGATAAGATTAGTATTGTTGACCAAACCACACATCAGAAGATAGGAAAAACTACAACAGTTTGGTCTGCCCTGGACCGTTATCAAGTCGTGGTCTTGATAATGGTCCTGGAAGGACTGAAATGTTGTCGTTTCTTGATCTCTTGAAGTGTGTTTGGTCATCATATCTTCAGCTACGTTATGACGACTTATCATCTGGAACAAGTGCTATTCTTCGTACAGTGTACTTTATTGCTTACCTCTGTAAGTAGACAAAGATTTATCATTGTACATACTGATAAATTATGACAAGGATGAAGATGGCTATCAAAGTTGAAACAGCTTGTCAGAAGAATAAGAAAGCAAAAATATAAACCAGGGGGAAATGCCAGAAACAGTAGTCTTATTACAGTGGAACCTCGAGTGACGAGTGGCTCTATCTATGAACATTTCGAGTAACGAGCGAGCCACTCTCCAAAAAACTGTCTCGACCGACAAGTTTTCGCTCGATTAACGAGCGAAACCACATGGTGCTTCCTAGCGTTCTCGCAAATTCTCGGACGTCTCCAATGACAGCGTTGTTGTTGTATCGCGTAGGACAAGCATTCCTCTGCATTTATTTGTGCTTTTGTGACTACAATTTGTAATGAATGATGTGGTCAAAGAAGCTGCTTGCTAAAGACAGTGTTGACAAGGGGAAGAAAGAGAGAATTACTGTGGAAGTGAAGAAGGAAATCATAGCAAAGCACGAGCGTGGTGTCTGTGTGACTGATCTCGCCAGGGAGTATGGCAGGTCCTCCTCCTCAACAATTTGCACCATTTTGAAGAGGAAGGAATAATTTAAGATGCTTGAAGTGGCTAAAGGAGTTACCAAGGTTACCAAGAAACGTCCAAAAATCCTAGAAAAGGTTGAAAAGCTACTGCTGGTCTGGATGAATGAAAGGCAATTACATGGCGATAGTGTCTCCGAAGCTATTGTTTGCGCTAATGCAAAGAAGCTGTATGTGGACCTTGTTAGGAAGACACCTAGTGCGTCGTCTGAAGATGAGATATTTAAGGCAAAACATGGATGGTCTGAGAAATTTAGGAAGAGAAGTGGTATACACAGTGTTGTGCGACATGGGGAGGCTGCCAGCTCTGATAAAGCTGCTGCCGAGAAATTTATGCCAGAGTTCCAGGAATTTGTTGCTAGAGAGGAGTTCTTGCCGTGACAAGTTTTTAATTGTGATGAGATTGGCCTGTTTTGGAAGAAAATGATGAAGAGGACCTACATCACGCAAGAAGAACAGCCTTTGCCTGGCCACAAACCGATAAAGGATCGGCTTAGCCTCGTGCTCTGCACCAATGCAAGTGGCGATTGCAAGGTCAAGCCACTGCTCGTCTACCACTCAGAAAATCCACACGTGTTCAAGGCATGTAAAGTGCACAAGACACGACATAATATGATGTAGAGGTTCAATAAGAAATCCTGGGTCACGCGGATATTCTTCAGTGACTGGGTCAATGATGTTTTTGGCCCCGCAGTGAGGAAATATCTTGGAGAAGCAGTTATCACTCAAGGCCTTGCTTGTGCTCGATAATGCTCCGGCACATCTTCCACAGATGCAAGATGATTTGTTTCCCAAAAATCAGTTCATCACCATCAAGTTTCTTCCTCCCAGCACCACTCCACTCCTCCAACCCATGGACCATAAAGTCATAATTTTATTTCCATTACTGTATTTTAAATGGGGAAATTAGTTTCTCAAGACGAGTGTTTCACATGACGAGCTCGATGTTGGAACAGATTAAATTCGTTAATCGAGGCTCCACTGTAATGGTGTATTTAAAAAAAATCAAGATTGATCCATGCAACTCATGGAAAAGGGAGGGAGGGAAGAGCTGACTGTCATTACAGATAAAAGCCAACAAGAGAGGCCTACAGCTGTCATGTGAATACCCTGCATTGCAGTGGAACTGCCTTTCCTACTCACCCTCAATGCCTCTGCACTGGAACTTCACCTCTACACCAGCCAAGATGAATCATCAGTCCTGCCACCTCTCCATAGCCCCCAGGGCCCTGGCACGGCCTGGTACGACTCGGCGGCAAGCAGGGCGTCTCCGCTAACCCGTAGTTTGCCTTCACAAACACACAGTTAGCTGCCTTCAACTAGCAGTGGTGCAGCCTAAACACAAAGGCACTGCCAGTCACAAAAGAGCAGTTTGCTAGTAGCACGCGTTACCACCTTGTGTTGACATCGAATGTGAGTCATTACCGCCAGACTATATAAAGGGCACCGTCTCAAAGCCAGTAGTGCTCTTGGATCAAATTAGTCTCCTGCAATGCCGTCTACCCTCAGCCTACGTCGTGTGCTGGATGCTGTTGTGGTATGGTAGTTGTCTTCAGCACACTAGTATACTCTTTGTAGCAGATTTAAACTTTCATTTACTTATTTTATTTGTTCAATAATAACAGCCAAGTGTTCTCAGGTGCCATGTTTGTTCATTCATATTTCAGTAAATTGTTTTAATTATTTATTTGATGATTTTCATTTGTTTCCACCTGCGACTTAAACACCACAAGGGCCAATAGCAGCAGTTTTGTTTATTTTACTTGTGTAATGGAGAGCCATACCACCTTGGTTCAGTATAGCTGCCTGGTTGATACCTGGTTGATGGGGTTCTGGGAGTTCTTCTACTCCCCAAGCCTGGCCCGAGGCCAGGCTTGACTTGTGAGAGTTTGGTCCACCAGGCTGTTGCTTGGAGCGGCCCGCAGGGCCACATACCCACCACAGCCCAATGTACTTTAGTGCAACATGACATCCAGCTGTTTCCCGATATGATGTCAATCCGTCAACCGTACTACAGCATCAGTCTACAGAAGAGAAGCCATGTTCGCAGAAGTAAAGTACCTCCTCAGCAATGGATTAGCTACACCTTGTGAGTCTCCTTGGGCTTCATCATGCATACTGGTTCCCAAACCACATGGCAAGGTAAGACTGTGCACAGATTACCGGAAGTTAAATGCAGTTACCATCAAAGACTCTTATCCTTTACCTCGCATCGACAAGGACATCTTAATTGTCATTGGTAACACTGAATTCTTATCTCGAACAGACCTCTTAAAGGGCTATCAATCAATGATAGTGATCAATGATAGATATAAATCAATGATAGGGCCCCCAATCAATGCTGCAATACCCAACCTGTCACACTGCATATATATCAGCCATTTGAGCACTGTTTAGTAAATAATGTAAAACTTATTAAAATTATACAGAGAAGAATTAATTAAATTTGGTCATTGCATTTAAATAAGTATAACAAAGTGTTAATTAATAAACTCAAAGCAAGAAAGCTCCATGAATTTCCTTAACTCTTTAATTGTGTAGATGCCTGAAGTGGGAATTAATCATTAAGTGCACTTTAAACATTCAAATTGACAGAAGAGAAATGGTTGGACAGGTTCCCTTTCAGGTTACAGTTGTGTGTGTAAACTAAAGTCTTTGAAAATGTAATAAGTTATTACGAAACGCGTTCAAGTGTCGCGTTAGACTAGAAATAAAAATGAATTTTGGAGAATTGATTTTTCAATTACCATCGACAGTAAAAAGAAGAAATTTTGAAAAAATTTGTGTTAGAATTATCAATCTTACTTTTTCGGTCATATTTAACAACATATGTTTACAAGAAAGACTGCTACAAATACAAATGCACACACAAATACACAAATACACACACACACACAGTGGAACCTCGAGTGACGAGCGGCTCCAGTTACGAGCATTTCGAGGAACGAGCAAGCCACTCGCAGAAAATATGTCTCGGCTGACGAGCTTTCCCTCGATTAACGAGCGTTCCCGTTGGTTCTCGGACACCTCCGATGACAGTTTTGTTGTTGTTTCACAAGACGAGTTTTCCACATGACAAGCTCGGTGCCGGAACGGATTAAACTCGTTAATCGAGGCGCCACTGTATATATATGTATGTATACATACATACATTCATGCACACACACTTACACACAGAGTTCATTCAGAGTAGTTAACAGGTGGAATGCATTAGGAAGTGATGTAGTGGAGGCCGACTCCATACACAGTTTCAAATCTAGATATGATAGAGCTTGAGAGGCTCAGGAATCTGTACACCAGTAGATTGACGGTTGAGAAGTGGGACCAAAGAGCCAAAGCTCAACCCCCGCAAGCACAAATAGCCGAGTAAAAATAGGTGACAACACATATACAAACACACACACACACGCTTCCTGTCCAGACAATGGGAATTATTTATTTAAAATATGAATAGTATTTGTTTGGTACCGATTCCTATCACACTGTAATGCTGATGAAAATACAGTACAAGTAAAATAATGAAGGATTGAGTTCCAATTAAGCGATAGAATCAAATATATATACATTGCCATTTCTTCAACATTTGATACAATTACTCTAAACACATTCATTCTACTTTTTGCTAACAACTTTCTAATTATGTTAGCTATCATTATATATAAACATACTATGTAAAGCTGAAACACTTACCATATATATTGTTGTGCTCTATGAGTCCTCTGCCATCTCCAAATATATAAACGCCACCTTGAAGACCATTATATATTTCATTTCGTCTAATAGTTGGATTGCTGTTTGAGGTTATCCACACTCCAGCGTACTTGTTAGAGTGAATTTTATTTTCTATGAACTGACCCATTCCATGCTCATGTACATATATTCCTCCAGTTTGGCCATTATGTATTTCACATCGAACAACAGTTGGGTTAGCTTGAGCCTTCACCTCAAAGCCAGCAATACGATTATTATGAATGTCATTTGCCTCAAAGTAGCCCTGTAAAATAAACACTTTGAATGGATTATGATGTATAAAGAAAAGAATGTCATGAAAATCAAGCAATGGGAATAATAAAATACACTAACTCATGGAAAAATATAATGAACATTATTGTATTGTACATGTGATTTGCAAATCTACACACAACAGTGTAATGAGATAAAGCATGCCAAGTTTGTTACCTAATAAACCTAAATGCTATCTCTAAATTTCAATACAGTACAGGGGTTTCTCTGTACCCCCTTCATGTATAAAATCATTGTACAAACTCCCTGGAGCATCACTTTGAATTTTGCAGCAACGCACTATAATGTCCATGCAGCAGCCACATGGTGGAGTATTGTATAGTACAAAAAAGTGGAGTCAAAAAGTGTCAAGTTGTACACAAGACTTTTCGACAGCTTATTTTCCAATTGTTAAACTCTATACTGTATATTGTTTGCTTAGGATGTATTAGCCTTGACTATGCTGTGTTAGTCTTATTTGGGTTAGCTTAGGCTTATTTGGGTAAGATTAAGTTTGGCTGAGTTAGACGAGGTAGGCTTTAAAATGAATTGGCAAACCGTTGTGTACAATGTGACGTGTACAGTATCTGTGGAGACTGACGCTGTCTTAAGTCGACATTTTCTCACACCCAGACTAACCAGTGCTGTGCTTTCTTTGACTTTATCAAGGCATTGAGCAAGAAGCTTGGCAAGAGATAACTTCTCAAAAGTACTGTACTGCCAATACTCAGGACCTGGCTCACACAGACTAGCTGAGAAAGGTACAATCACCTCAGGGGAAAAATTCCCTGGTGGTTGTTAGTCCTCACAATTAGTGACAGGGAAGGGTAGACTGAAGCAAAGCTAAATTGGTTTTACTATTTTAGAGGCTCAAAAGATGACTATGAACCACCACATACTAAGCAAAATGTCCATGTCTGAGAATGATTTGGGACACCAACTTTATCTTTTGACTCTGCAGAGCCTAGATGATCAAGAGTGAAGCTACAAAAGGTACAATTGTAAAGTAAGAGTTGTTGACCAGACCACACACTAGAAATTGAAGGGACGACGACGTTTCGGTCCGTCCTGGACCATTCTCAAGTCGATTGTGAATGGTCCAGGACACAATCGACTTGAGAATGGTCCAGGACGGACCGAAACGTCGTCGTCCCTTCAATTTCTAGTGTGTGGTCTGGTCAACATACTTCAGCCACGTTATTGTGACTCATCACCTGCAAGTAAGAGTTGTTTCCCTGGCCAAACAATTTGTTTGGTAGCTCTGTAATTTGGTGATGGTTGTACAGTTAGGTTTAGGTCTTGAGAATGATCTTTAGTGATCTCTGAATTTTGTTTGAATATAAGGTTTAGAAAGATTTGTAAGTAAATTTGAAAGATTTCTTGGCATGCATTTAATTCAAAATGGGTTCAGAAAATGCCCTCCACCCACTGCCTCACCTACTTGAAGCAGAACACAGCAGTTAGAAAACGTACTTGTCTCCTGGGGCATAAGGATACTTAAGAGCCCGGCTCCAGGCCTGTCGCTTATGAAGACCACAGATGTAAGTAGAGGGAAGCTACCAAGTTGGTCCTAGCTCAAACTTACATTGAAGAGGTTAAGGTATCGTTTACAAGTTGGACTAAGATAAGTATCTCCTGGCATAAGTAAGGAAATTATGCTCAGATAGGTGTTTTTACATGAAGAAATGAGTTGACTTGGGGAAACATCTGGATTGCATCCCCAGTTTTTATTAATATAGGCTAATCTTAACACTTTCACTGGGGATAATGCTATTTGTGTCCTAAAATCAATTCACATAGTTTGGGGGGAGGAGGTGGATGCACTGTGCGTCCACAACACCCCAAAATTTCATTTAATTTCCGAATTGTTTTGAAACTTGCGCCAATTTGATAAAAAAATCAACAAAAATTGAGGTGAGAAAACTGGAAAGCGTTTAAACAATGGAGTGTGGTTGTGTGCTCACGGGCACTGCTCACCGCCCAGCCTACCTTGCAGTGCAATGCAGGTGGCACGCCTGCCCAGGCAAGGTGTTAAGTATATTTTGCATAATCTGCTTAAGTTAAGGCTTTCCAAGACTACAGTGTGTACCAATCACACACAATGGTAATACAAAAATATGAATATGAAATTTATAATTTTACCGATTATAAGTGATTTTTTTTTATCAAGTCTATACGTATTTATTATAAACAAATGAAAACCATAGACAAATAACTCACCAGTCCTCCATCAAAACAGAATATTCCCACATCTTTCCCATGGTGGATGTGGTTGCGCCGCATTATAGGGTTTGCATAGTTCTTGACCCATATTCCAGCCAGGGCATTGCGGCTGATCTCATTGTCTTCATAATGACCTTGTGCCCGGTCAGTGATGATCAGACCAACATTCTCGCAATCACTTATTTCGCAATGACGAATAACTGGTTCAGCGCCCGGACCACTCACACTCACTGCTGCTCCCACTGAAAATGCAAGTAATATGTTTCAATTAAAATACAATTCTACTAAAAAAATACAGCAGGCCCTTATATAACATTGTAGCTACATTCTTGGTAAAACTATGTTAAAACTGATTATTATATTGGAAAAATAGGGTTACATTGCCAGACAAGATAAGGTTGTAAACAGCAGGAAAACCATCATTTAAAACAGTGAGCATGCATGAGACTTTGTACAGGTGAGAGTAGGTGGGTGTGTGAGAATGGGTGTGCATGTAATTACCCAAGTGCTATGTTCGTGGTGTTCCATCTTCCCAGCACTCTTGTCATATAACACTTTGAAATTACCGATGGTTTTGGCATTCACCGGCTTCCCACTTAAATTGTTCCAACCATCTACCCGTTTGCAAAAAGAGAACTTTATATATTTTTTTGGCATGTTTGACCTCAATGAGCCCTTGTTGTTTAAGTTGCAAATTTTTAAAATTTATTGGAAAAGCCAAAAACTTATTACCACTGTACATACTGTCCCTTTTCACGATGAGGTAGAGACAATGTATGCAAACTCTAACATCATGTAGATGTAACCAGTTAGATGAACAGTGTTAAATATTCAGCAAGTGTCTAGAGAAGGGGACCAATGCAAGAAAAAGTATTAATACAAAATACACTAAACATGTCTACATTTGGTAAATTGAAAAGTAGTTAATTAAATTGTGGTTAAATATAATATACTAATAAGAGTGAATTTATGAACAATAAAACCTAAATTTTAATTTTATAAATATCTTTAACAAATGAATACAGTATATTTATCGTTTATACAAAAGTAAACCAATAAGAATGTTGTAGCACAATTAGGAACACATTCAATAAAGAAGGCATGTAATAATCTTTAAAATAAAATATATATATTCCTGCATATAATGCAGTTACCTTATACCCTGATAGGTCTTAGAATCCCCTCAAGATTAAGCCAATATAATACTCTGCCACATTACTGAGGTATCCATAGGCTAACCACACTACTGGTGGTGGAGTTCTTAGTAACAAAAATATTTCATGGCTATACTGTAGGTAGTGTTCTCTTATACTAAATTTGCAAGCTAGCAAGCAAGAGAGAGCACAAAATAATACTTGGGTGAAGTTTAAAAAAATTAAGAAAACAGTTCTTCCTCAAAGACCGGTATTGGCTAATAAATACAAATGCAAATGCGTATACAGAATATGGAAACACACTTGCTAAGTAGCACCTGTGTTTGAAACAGTTGCTGATAAATTGTGAAGCCCTCCATGGTCCAATACTAACATGAACACAGGAGAGGAAGCCCTCTTGAAGACCTAAGGAAGCCTCAAGAGAGAGAGAATCCAGAAGCCACCTGATGGAGCACTCTGGAGGGTGCACAGAGAATTTTCCAGAGCTTATGTTACCCCTGCATATAATCATCGAGAGAGAGAATAACAGAGGAAGAGAGGGAGAGAAAGATAGAAAAGAGAAATGAGAGAAAAAGAGAAAAAAAAGAAAATGTGAGAGAAAAACAGAGAGAGATTCACATCTGGAACTAGTTTGCTCAACACACAGATACATGTTGAGCCAAGTCAACCATATGAAGGCTCTGGTACAAAGAGGGCGACTCCTGGGTCATCTTGTTCCATACACGATAGTAACTTAATATTAAATTTAGTTTACTGCTGTTGGATACAAACAATACGTTTATCAAATAAATGAGTTTTTAGGGTCAAGCTTCAGACGAGCTGTAGGATAACAGATAACAGCTCTTAGCTTGCAATTTCATTAGGATCCTCATTGACATTCAATAATAATACATGTACTCATAACTATCTGGTCAAACATATAAAATCACACTCAAAAAGTTATTGTTTTGTATTACTGAATTAGCTCAAATGGCATACTAAAAAAAAAAAAAAAAAAAAGTAACAATAGAACCAGACTATTCAAGCATCCCAATGCCTAATATAGCACGTGTGTGCTATTTTAGGCCTAAAAAGGTTTATATTTGGTTTTTGGCTATTTATTTCATGCTCTACAAAATTAACAGCACAAAATGTGAACTCTGTTGGCTGCAACAGTTTATTTTTGTACAGTTGACCAAACAATTGGTATAAGTATTATTTTAAGATGGGGTAGGAAAGGCAGAGTTCTAAGAGAGGTTAATAACCTGGTCCTGGTTGTATTTTTTGTCTTTAACCAAAAATAAAAAGCTATTTTCCAGAGATAAAATCATTGATACGTTATATAAAACAGACGTGGTGATTTACTTACAATGAGATATGCTGCGAATAATGCAGTGTTCTATGGTGGGTGCACAGTTCTCTTGAATTTCCAATGCATAGTGTTTATGGTGCTGCATAGTTTCCGTACAACTAGGAGGAGAAAATTTTATTGTGACATAACCTAAATATGCCTGTTGTGCCCCCTCCATGAACATTACAGTCGATTCACATTCTCGTTCTAAAATTACATTTTCTGCCACATTACCTGAAAAAATAATAAAAGCAGGAATTACATAATGCTACTGAACACAGATGTGCATAGCTTAGTATTGTATGTGATAATTTCAATAACAGGTGGTATACAAAAGTAATAATACAGGTATTAATGTATGCTGATGACCGCAAAAGAATACTGCCACACCCATGCATTCCTACATCATATTAGGTGAAAACTATTTTTTTACTTTTTTACTTTTTCCCCACTTCGCAATCAAGAGTAAAAATAACAATATTTCAAGTTTTATCCAGAATATTCATCACAAAAAGTGACTTCACCAAAAACCAACATGTATAGTGATACTGTCAACATGTATAACAAAAAAAAAAAAAAATATCCTGGAACACACACACCTTAGCATGAACCACCCCTGTATGGTTCTTAATGTGTGCATGGATTTTGAATTTTTCAAGAGAAACTTGGAAATGTACACATTTATCAATCTCATCCACAAAAATGCACGATAACTAATGGCTGTACCAAACAGTGATGCCATCATGTAAATGCTCCTATAATTAGTATTTAGTTATGATGTATGTATGAACACACGTGCGTGTGTGCGTGCATGCGTATGTGTGTGTAATTACCTTAGTTACAGGATGAGAGCTATGCTTGTGGTGTGCCAACTTCCCAATACTGTCATATAACGCTTTGAAAGTATTGACGGTTTTAGCCTCCAAAACTTTCTTGCTTAACTTGTTCCATTCTGTTTGCAAAAGAAAACTTTCTAATATTTTTTTGGCAACTTTGTTTCATTAGCTTGAATCTGTGTCCTCATGTTCTTTAAGTTGCTGGCTTCAGGAATTACTCTTTACATATTTGGTAAATTCCTGCTATTATTTTATAAGAAGTGATCATATTACCTCTCTTTCTTCTATCTTCTAGAATCATTGCAAGGTATGAGATAAGTTGGCGTATTTAAAGCCTCAAGCCTCTCCTCGTAACTCTTGATTTTCATATCCGGAAGTCAGTTTGTAGTATGTTTTTGCCTTTTTCCAGTTTATTGATGTGACTCGCAATATATGGGCACCATACAACTGCTGCATATTCCAATTTTGGTCTCACTAGTCATGAACAGTTTCTTTAGTATTTCACCATCCATGTAATTAAGAGTGAGTCTGAAATTGGAAAACGACACACACGTCCCTCACACAAAGTTCATTGTGTGTTCCTCTGGTGACGGATTACCATCAAAAACCACCCCTAGATCTCGTTATTTATTAGAGTTCTTTAATTCCTTTCCACATAACATAGAAGTTGTGTGTGGTTTATTTTCTCAGATTCCACATCCATAACATGACATTTATTCAAATTGAATTCTATTTACCTCATGTCACTTCAAGCACTTGTTTTATCTAGATCCATTTGAAGGGCATTACAATTGTCTCTGTCTCAACTCAAAGACAGAGTGGATAAAAGTGGACACACACACACACGTACGTAAGTACATTGGTGCGTGTTTACTCGCCTATTTGTGTGTATGTGTGTGTATGTGTGTAGCACACAACATTCCCATTCCAACTTGGCCAAGAGAATAAGATTGGTGGATGCTAAAGTCCAACTATTGCATGTCCCCGCTTTAATTTTTATTTCATTTTTGTGGTGGCACCTTTGCCTCCACCTCTCAATAAAATGAGAGGACTAGTTTGGCACGAGTTACTGCGATAAAAAGGGCCACGTCATACCCTCCCTCTTAACTCTTGGAATACTGGTCCCCACACAATCACCATAACTGCTCTCAACTCTTCTGCTTTCCCTAACAAAAGAATCCTATATTTACTTTGGCACATTACCAAAAACAATAAGACATTAAAAATAAATTAAAAGATGCATTAATTAGACCTCTTCAGAGAAAAATAATAACTAGGGGGTTGTTTATATCAAGTTAACTGAGGAATCTTTCACCAATGGCACAAGAGGTACAACTATTAAATAACATTTGTATAATACAGTTATTTCTAAAATCTAAAAGACACAATTCAATAACAGGTACTGTACTTAGAGAAGATTTTCATCTAGTGTTTAGAGATTCTTCTACAATACCAGTACCATAAATGTGACAGCAGTTTAATATTGGTTATGCTGCAATATAATCAAGTTTAAAGTAAATACTTGTTACTTACACATCCTTAAGGTCTACAAGTAGCAACTGAGTTTTTGTATAAAGGACCTAACTTCTTAATGGTACATTAGAGGGCTACTTTTTTTTTTTTTTTTTACTTTACATATATCAGAATACTTCATACAGAATATACAATTTTGAATGTTATATGCATACTGAATGTACACAAGGAGTAAGAGTGGAAAGTCTGCTTTTGTAAGAGGGGTATGCTCACTTATTTCAGAATGGACTTCAGCCTAAATAGCTAAATGTTCCATCAAGTTTCATATATCAATGACAACACTTTAATAATTTACCACACAAAGCCCAAGAAATTTTCCCGTCTCTGGCAGCGTTGATAAAGCAATTAGGAAATGAGTTTAATATTCAAGCTGTATTGCTATCATGAATCCTAGTTAAACATGTGAAAATAAAATTTGTCCTTGCATTTTAACAAGGAAAACAAATTAAAAACAAACATCTACTTTAGTACAGGAGGTGATAATGTGTATCCCCCCAACCCCTTCCCGTACTCCAATTGTATGGCTGTATAGGTCCCCTAGTGGTGAGCTGCTGCTATCCAGGGATGCACTGCGATTCAGGATATACATGCCCAAATTTTTCCGCAACTAAAACCACTTGCCATCAATTTGAACTTACAACATTAATGCACAGAAATATATTTCAAAAACCCTATCAACAATGTAGCATGTACTGAGAGCATCGCGTGCCCAGTTTTATAGGGTTAATACAAATGAAAAACATAGAAACTCGTCTAATGCAAAACTTACCAGGTGCAGCTCCAATAAGAGCAATATTGGTCTCTATAACAATAAGTTGTCCCCGGTAAACACCAGAATGAATTAACACAAGAGGTCTCTCTGCATCATCACAGTATTCAAAGGCAGCCTGGATGGTTTCAAAGTATGCAACAGATCGACCAGTTTCCTGAAAATTTGAAGAAAATTGATGTTAAATACAGTACATACTGTACCACATTGGAAAACATTGTCAACAAACATAAACATATTATGTTCAAAGTAAAAATAATAGCAATATTTCAAATATTTCATTAATTGAACAATTTGAGCTATCAGTAACTACAATGATCATTTCATTATAAAAATTACCAGTAGACTATATAAAGGGCTATACACAAAAATTGTCTATAATGAGCTTGGACAATGATAAGAGGCTGACCTTTGCTGCATATTTTTGATGTCCTTCTCTAACATGTACTCCATGATATAACTGCTTGAAACTTTCTTTCCAAGGGTTGTCATAATCACAGTCCTCAGGTTGCACAAAGTCAAATTTGCAGGGTGCAGGGTTGAATAATGGCAGGTCATATTCATACAGACCTTGGAAAAGATTTTTCCTGCAAAATTAAAGAAACAAATTTATCTAAATGTGTGCAATATAAATTACAGAAAAACAAATAAAGTACGTGCAGAAAATTTCAGTGTTGAACATGACACAAAAGTGCAACAACTTCAATAGAAGGGTGGTTAAAACCCGTTCATAATTACTTACCAAAGTTCATTGTCATTGGCTATTGTGTAGAAGCGTTTACAGACTTGTGCTACATGACAGAGATCTCTTTCATACAGGTAAGAAAAAATAGTGAGTAGCACCTCGTCAGGAAGTTCATACAGGAGGTAATGTGCTGCGGTAAATGGGTTGCACCCAAGCCCTGAAAAGATAGAATTCAATTGTTATGCACAAGCTTCTAAACAAATGAAGGTAAGATTTTTAACACTACACTAAAAGCTGTATTGCTGGTAAATATAGGCTCGAGAAAATAGTGCTCAAAGGAGTCATCTTGCTGAACTAATTTTGTAGTAGCATATAAGGCTTATGAATATGTTTACGAATTGTGGACTAGTCTCTGGATACAGAGAAAAATACAAAACAAAATGAAGTCCTCTAAATAACAAATGAAGTAATTCATTCATTCATTGCCATTACCCTATACCATGGGGGAAGGGGAGACATCATCCTAGAGCAGAACAAAGAATAGTGACATTAAAAAAGATAAATCATTTGTATATTCAATATATTATTCACACTATTATCAGGGACAAACAAGCACCACCACACTCACAGTCATTCACAGCAGGACTTCACCACTTCCAAAGACCAGATGTACAGTGCTCTAAATTAATTGCCTTATACATTACAAATATATTAACACCAGACCACAAACCAGGAGCCCAGAAACCCTGGTCAGAGAGTGGGGCTGTGGAGTCACTGATCCTCGGAACAAATGCAAAGTGCAATGTCAGCACTATTTCTCCACTTCCACACAATCCATTTCATCTCGGCTGCTCTCTTCCTGTCTACCTATATACTGTACTCGTTAGAATACAGTATACTCTTCACTGTTTTACCACTATTCATTCATTCAACATTAATGTACGAGCACCTATGTACTTTCCTTCTGTATTACTTATATTTTGTTCCTACCACCCCATCATCTTTCATCCATGAACAAAGGTCACCACAAGCACCTGTGCAGATATTACATCCCATTAGCTAGGTTACTATGTCCCAAGATATCAGATCTTAATGCTTCATGGTTCTCGATTAATGACCCCTAACATATGATACCTGATCTCCACACCTATGGCCAAATCTCTAGGAACCAAGCACTGGGTTCCTATAGGTAATTCTATGAGTAATTCTATGAGTAATTCTATGAGTGGTGTTCAATAGTATGGAAAAAAGAGAGAAGTAAAATATAGACTATACCATTTATGCAATGGTAAAAATTTTCTTATAAATGGGCAATGTCTAGCTTTCTGTAGACTGGCACAAGCGTGTTCAGACATTTGATTGAGCAATGAAACTGAATGCTGCCATTTATTTAACATCTTCATGGGCAGTACATAAAATATCCACTCCAGCATTATTTAATCTAACAAATCTTTTGATTTATATAATAAACTTTGCACAAACTATTTTTTAGTTAAACAAGAACATTAATAACAGAGTGTGGAGTCTGCTAACTTTATCCAATCTCTAGACGGTAGTGACAAGGCTTCATGACGACTAATAATGTGCGCGCACACAGTACCACTTCACCAGCAATTGCCTCTAGAGGTTTGTTGGTCCTGGAGCTCACTACACAAGCTCCATGACCTCCAAATTTTTGCACAATATTGGAAAATGCAAAACTCTGTAGACAGGAATCCTTGGAAAGCAGAACATGGCCAGCCCCAATTAGTATGCTTGAGGGAGATACCACTGAATTTGCATTTATTTAAATGCATATTTTATTCATCTAAATCCCACAAATAATTCACAGAAATATAATTAAAAAATGCACAGTAAAATTCATGAAAATTGAATGTTACACTTTTTTTTACATGCTTACTTTGTTTATATCAAAACAAAGATTAACAAAATATATCTTATATTTCAGATTACTGTATTAAAAACTAATAAACTGTTCAGTTTAGCACAAATTGTTTACCTGTGGAAGAATCCCCAGTAAAATACGTTCTCCGAGGGCGCTTGCGGGCAGGTAACATGGAAGGGCAGTATGTGGTTGCAGCAGCAATAGCAGCAGTGGGTGAGAGTAAAGGTGCAGAATTTGTGGCAGCAGATGGAAGCCCAGCCGTTGCTGCTGAAACTCCTGCTGGTGATGCCGTTGTGGGTGAGGCTGTTACTGACGCTGTTGCTGCCGCTGCCCCTATGGAGGATGGTGGACTGACCGGATGTGTTGGGGACTTGCGACGTAGGTGATATGGCGGGTGATGGTGATGTGTGGAGGTGCCAACGAGGGCAGAGGAGGGGCCTGCTTCACCAGCTGCAGCCGCTCCTCCAGCTACCAGCCCCAAAAGGGCCAGTGCTGATCCAGGAACTATAGGGACTTCACAATCATCGTCTATAAGAAGATAAAAAAGATAATGCATAATTTTATTATTGGAAAGAATAATCTAAGAATAAATGTGCATATAAGTATTTTCATTTCTGTGCATGTTAAATGTAATCCCATATACAAAAGTTTATCATTCCTGCCATGCTTGTTCATAATTTTACAATATAAAAATATGCAATGACCAATAATACAGTTTTAGAAGCTTCTGCTATACACAATAAAATATGGTTCATCCCTCCATAATTTTACTATGCATTGAATACAGTACAGTATAATGGAAACGTATTTATCCAGGTCCCAGTTATGTGAATTCTTGCTTTATCCAGAGAACCTGATCTAACAGTGTTAATGATGTATCTGGATTGAAAATGGACACACAAAAAGTGCAGTGAAAATTTAATCAAATAGTTCACCATTATGAATCAATTTCTTGCCCTGCACATTACACATATAAAATGAACTACTGTATTTTGAAACAGTAAGACCTACAGCACTTAGTCCAGTGAGGTAAATGCATTCCCTTTTTTGTCCCTGCGGCCAAGTATTTTTTTTTGTTACTTAGTGTTAAAAATCATGCACTTATATTAATTTAGAAATGTGTTATTTTACATACAAAGTACAGTACTATAAATTGAAAAAATTATGGCTTACATGATTTTTTCGAGGCACCCAAATCTATTATGTGAGCATACATACCAGTCCAGTGTTCTGCACTTCTAACTTATGAGTGTGAGTGCAGTCTGACCTATCATCATGCAAGAATTTTCAGACTTTTGTTTTGACATTGTGGGATTACAGGTATTTTCCTGACTCCCTAAATTAAAAGATCTAACTACTAACAGGGAATTATAACAGCAAACCTAGCTGTCCACAGTGACAGTAGTCATATCTAGTGGCCTCTAGAAAAACTGATGTCTTCATTGTGTAGTGAGAAATTTCCACATATATTTGCACATTGTATGTCATTATTTGCACATTGAAGCCATGTCAAACAGCAAGTGTAGTACAAGTACAGGTACATCAGACAAGAGTAAGAGGACCTGTTTTACCATGGATAAAAAGAGTTATTTGTAAACTGTGATCATGGCTAGGGAACGAAGTGGCTAGCAGAAAAGCATAGCATTGGTACTACAGTACTACTACTACTACTACTGTCTGGCATAATGAAGGTAGATAAAATAGTTTGTAAATAAAAGTGTAGAGCAGTAGTGGAAAAATTAAAAACATTGAAAATACAGTATTATATGAATAAGGATTTGGATGTTCACAATGATTTACACAACATGGGAGCTGACAGCTGGTGATGAACAATCACAGTCTGTAGAAGAGAATGGCATTAACCCCTTAACTGCGACAGCCAACAAAAGTCGTTCCGAGTTATTTTTTTTTTAATTAGTCTATATTTTAATGTTTTTTATGTTTTCATCACTTTTTTTAAATGAAAATAGTTGAGTTTGGAAAAATTTTGACATTAACTTTACCTGAACTTATAAAAACAACAAAAATATGTCCTTAACAATTGCACTATAAAGGTTTTGCCAAAAACAGGTGCGCAGTGCAGGGGTTTAACCATGGGCAATAATGAATTCAAGACCAGTTTGTAGTGACTGAAGAAGTGTAACAGACTGTATGATGTACTAAAATTACATTTCGCTGTCACTGTTATAATGGCCAACCAGTGCTAAATAAGGGTTATGTCAACAAATGAATTTTTCATACAGTAAAAAAATACAATAGTTGTTTTCCCAGCCAGCCCACTCAGTTCCTCTCGCCCTCCTGCCAGCCCACTCGGTTCCTCCCGCCCTCCTGCCAGCCCACTCGGTTCCTCCCGCCCTCCTGCCAGCCCACTCGGTTCCTCCCGCCCTCCTGCCAGCCCACTCGGTTCCGCCCTCCGCCAGCCCACTCGGCCCTCCTGCCAGCCCACTCGGTTCCTCCCGCCCTCCTGCCAGCCCACTCGGTTCCTCCCGCCCTCCTGCCAGCCCACTCGGTTCCTCCCGCCCTCCTGCCAGCCCACTCGGTTCCTCCCGCCCTCCTGCCAGCCCACTCGGTTCCTCCCGCCCTCCTGCCAGCCCACTCGGTTCCTCCCGCCCTCCTGCCAGCCCACTCGGTTCCTCCCGCCCTCCTGCCAGCCCACTCGGTTCCTCCCGCCCTCCTGCCAGCCCACTCGGTTCCTCCCGCCCTCCTGCCAGCCCACTCGGTTCCTCCCGCCCTCCTGCCAGCCCACTCGGTTCCTCCCGCCCTCCTGCCAGCCCACTCGGTTCCTCCCGCCCTCCTGCCAGCCCACTCAGTTCCTCCCGCCCTCCTGCCAGCCCACTCAGTTCCTCCCGCCCTCCTGCCAGCCCACTCAGTTCCTCCCGCCCTCCTGCCAGCCCACTCGGTTCCTCCCGCCCTCCTGCCAGCCCATTTGGTTCCTCTCTCCATCTCTCCTGCCAGCCCACTTGGTTCCTCCCTCCCTCCCTCATGCCAGCCCTCTCAGTTCACGAATAAAGATATATAGATGCTCATTACATTCCATGTCATGAAAGATGGGGATGCCCTAAATTTATATCTTCAAACAGATCTAGTCTTTAACTGTAGAATGATAAAGGTAAATATTTATGAAGGTCCACAAGAAAAAGAATATTGCGGTCGAACACCAATATATGCAACAAAAACCCAATACAGTAGAACCACGGTTTTCGAATGCCAGTTCTCAAATTTTTCGGTTCTCGAGCTCAATTTCTTAAAAAAATTTGAATCGGTACTCGAGGTTTGCCGCAGTGCTTGAGTTTGTTGATACACGTATGGGCCGACTGAGCACATGGCGCGGTTCAATTTATCAGTGTCTCCCGCCTAGTGACTACCACGCTTGAACTCTTTGTGAAGAATTTCATTGTTTTGGTGCTTTTTTGGTTTCTGAACACAAAAGTTATTATATATCAAGCCATGGGTTCCAAGAAAGCCAGTGGTAAAGTTTAACCTGAGAAAATAGTTGTGGGGGATAAGAGGAAAAACAAGAGATCATTCAGTGAGAATGTGATGTCTCACTATAGGTAAGTGTTTAAACGTAAAAACACAAATGTCTATAGACAAATTTTTAATAAGACAAGCATGCAGTGAGCCACAACCAGATCCAAGTGGTATGCCTGCAAAACATAAGAGTGCACCCCAGAAATGTCATCACTGCTGTTATAATGGAAAGGGACTCCCCCTTCCAAACACTAACACCTTTCCTCTCCCCTTCTTCACTGTCTTTCATATGCCAACAAGAGTTCTCGATAAAGGTAATGTACCTATAAGTATTATTCTGTATAAAATTTATTTTTTAGTTAACAGTTTTGGGGTGTGTGGAATGGATTAACTAAATTTACATTATTTCTTATGGGAAAATTCCCTTCGGTTTTCGAATCATCTCTGGGAACAAATTAAATTTGAAAACTGAGGTACCACTGTAGTTGCCAGTACTAGGCAACCTAAACAAAACACAGTATCAGTATAGGCCCCATCAAGCGGATATCAAGCAGGTACTGTATATCCAAATCAACTAAAAATACCACCAAAACATACTAACACCATGCTACCTTGTGCAGTAATACAAGATCTTAGAACTCTCTGGTTCTTGAAGAACCAACCAACAAACATGAGAAGGGTCAGTACCAGTCTTTAGCCACAGGTGCAAATGCCCAAAAAAGAAATGTCCACCACCAAAGAATATCGACACCATGCTACTATATACAGTAATATCCAAAAATAATGCTAGTGTTCTCACAATGCAATCACAAATATATTTAGGTTGCAATTGCCAGTCAGTTGGTAGCTGCACTGGTGGTTTTTTATAGTTTATTTCATTTATTATGCACCCCATAACCAACCTGTGGAAGGAGGTGGAGGAGGGTGGAAAAGGTTACAGAAGCGCATAATGGGCTCAGAGACTGAACCCCAAAAATCATTGAGCTACTTGTGTGTTTAATGTGTATCAACATTATATCAACAATGGGTTCGAGAATGACTACAGGTACAATCTCTTGAACAATTAGCTTACATGACTGGTGAGCTAGTTTCATAATTGATTTGCCTATCAATTGGTCAGCAGTGGAAAGGTTACAAATCACTCACATTTACTACCTACATGTAGCAAACTGGGAATATTTGGCTAAAATTTCTGGCAGTAAATCCCTCTGAGTTAAATATTTACAGTACATATTTCTTGAACATCTGTTGTGGAGCTATCTCTAAACTCACACATCTTTGTGCAACAATTTGTTATAAGAATGAAAAGCAAGCAAGGGAATGCATACCCTGTAGAAATGCATACACAGTGGATGAGTGTACAAGTGTTGCTGTCATAGCCAGCTGTGAAACTAATGACTGCTCAAGACACATCATTAAGGGCTCCTGTCAAGCCAATAATGTCTTCCTTTGATTTCTTGAATTTGCATTCAAATTACACACCAACAGGAAACAAAAATGTATCATTCATTCAACAAATACAGCATCCAGCTAGAGTAAGCAGGGCTTATTATGTTTCAGCAAGTTAAACAACTCTGGCTCTACTCACAGAACCTGTATGTTTTTCTTCGCCTACATCAGATTGAACTCTATTCAAAACCTCCCAAAACACACCATTTTCCCACACACACACATTCAGAAATGTAATAGGTGGAGGTTAATTACTGTATTGCTGCTTTCTGCCAGGATATCAACTAATTTTTTACTAAACTAACCCCACAAGTGAGGTGACAGGGAAGAATCACCGTGATTTTTGTTGTTTCCCAAAACACACACACACTCGGGCAGATGCTTCTAGAGTACATGTACCAAGAATCGATGGAGTCAATCATAATCAAGCATTAATAGACCTAGGGAAAAGCTTACATTGTGAAGTTTCCCCAGTGCTGGCCTCCATGAGCGCCCATCAGAGGGCCTACAACCTGCCACGGCTCCCCAGGCCCAGCCAACACGACTCCTCACTCCTAAAACGTGACAAATAATCCTCCAAACTCGCATATTGGCACCAGGATAAACTAACTTGTTCATGTTGCCCGAGCGAAAAATCAATGTCTGGTGCAATATCACCACTAAAAGATGGCTAAATAGGTAAACAAAGGTCTCATCCTTCACCTGGCTCTAATAAATAACACCCAAATGGACTCCCTGGGGCGCTTCGTGCAAAATAAAATCGCGCTGTTGCTCAACCTGAATTCAATAACAACGAAAACAAATGGTCATCACAAGACCAGCTCACCATTATTTCGTTGATTTAATGGGTTTCCTCTCCTCACTATTTTCTTTTTAGTAATTTTCCGTTTTCTTAATTGTGATATGCGTGTTCTAAAAGTAGGGTTCGACATTTTATGTTAAATATAGTGTCAATATTTCACAAATTGGAGACAAAGGTCATGTCTCCCCTCACCGCACACTGCCAGCCACTGAGCCAGCCATTTTGTCTCCCAGATATTATTGTTCCAGGCGGAAGCTCGCTCCACCAATCACCGCCCTGCATTTGGTCACGTGACAACCCTAAAGGAGCCAGAACGCGCACCATATGATTTCTCAAATGAGATTTAGATACCGATCACGGCTGAAATGGAAGCGTACGCGTGTAACATAGCGTAATTATATTAAATCTGAGCGACTATAGTTGCTGCTTGTGTTATTTTGTACTATTGTATTGTTTATGGCCAGGGAGGTATTGTTGGAACATAACCTTGATTACAGATATCAGATAATTTGCATTTCTCCAAACATTATGATTCATCTGTAATACATATTGTGATACTTACACGCGGGTTATGTTACATTTTTGCAGTGATAAAGACATTTTAATCAATATCGCCCTGCACAATGGCATAATAAACGCCGAATATTGATCACTTTTGACTCATAGAAAACGTCTCCTACAGACATGTAAACAAAGGAGTGATCCGCTGTCGTCGCCTCCAGTGTCTCTCTCCAACGGGGCGAATACAATGACTTCCTCCAGCGGTCACATGCCTCAAACCCCAAGTTGGAAATGCTCAAATATAAAACGATTTTTTAAAGAATGTCTTTTATGCGGGTATGCCCTGATAGTTTGCCGTAGTGGCAATGTATTTAGAGAAGTTGGAGTGGTAAACACGTTTGGGTGTGAAGAAAGGGAGGTGGGCGGGGCAGTGATGATCAGCTGACGACCAGCTAGAATAATGGCACTGGCAGCAGCAGTGTCTCTGGCCCAGCTGCAACCTGCAGGCACTGCTTATTGAAGGCAGTTTTTTTTTAACTGGCTACTTCCTAAATTTGTGAGAACAGTCAGTTAGTTTACTTAGTAATCGGGCAAGCTGAGCCGCAAGGTGCAGTAAGCAGCTTGCGGCGGTAAATCAGATTACAAGAAAAGCTACAATTGGGGATATCCGACATCATATGAATTTTTTCTTAAAATATTCAACAGTATAACAAAAAATAGTACGAAATTGCATTTGTCCGGAAGGGCAGACTACAATTAACAAGTCTTGAGAGATAAATAATTTTCAACGTATTAGCTTTAGATTGAATTGAAAGTAGATTTCACGGGATAAAACATGCCGTGTTCAGAGAAACTGACAACAATATACTAAGACATGCATTTTGATTTCCCATGTTGAGGAGGGGGCGAAGGTAGCCCAATTATGGCGAAATTTAGTCAAAATATATTGGTAGTGATGTGTAATAATGCCAGGCCCGTGTTAAATTGGTGGAAGGGTTACATTCAAAGTCACTTTTAGGATCGCAGACACCACACATATATTTTTATAAGCAAGTGACAGTAACTCTTAACTAATTATACTAGGAAGGATTTGACATGGGCAGGTAAAAGTGATTTAGTTTAATCAATATTTCCACAATCTGCGCTCCATTATTATTATTATTGAGCTTAGGTACACAGTAGTGTGCACTTACCGTATTGAATAGGATGGATTTGAGTATAAAGAACTAGCTACAAGTTCATCAGCTATGCTCATCTTACAGTGATTCCGTGGGAGATGATAGAATGATTGCTCTGCAGTAATAGAGCGCGTGTGATAACTGATCCCTTTGTGTTGTTTTAGGCCGAGTGAAGTAATGCCCTAGCATCAGCCTTTGAGTTAAGTCCTCTAATTATTAAATACTTGGCTGCCAACAGGGAGCAATTATAGTCCTACTATATAGTTACCTCGTAGTGGAGGCGCCTGACAGCTGGGTGTATAGCACTTCGGATTTGTAGTCCTCAGGTTCTGGGTTCGATCCCCGATGGAGGCGGAGACAAATGAGCAAAATGTTTCTTTCATCCTGATGCCCCTGCTACCTAGCAGTAAATAGGTACCTGGGAGTTAGACATCTGCTTCCTGGGTATGTGTAACAAAAAGGAGACCTGGTCGAGGACCGGTCCGCGGGGACGATAAGTCCCGAAATCATCTCGGCGTAAATGAGCACGGTTTCCAGCCCAATAAGCCACAATGTAGGACGGAAAACAGAAGCCTATTCACCTACTAGGTTATAAACATTCAATTGAGAGCTATAGTTTAATGTGCCTAACACTGTACATCCATACTCTTTACTAGGGGAAACTTTTTTTTAACGTGACCACTTTGTCAAAATACAATGGTGGAGATGTGTAATAATGCAAATGGTAGAGATGGCCACGTTAAGGTAAGGCCCGTGTTAAATTACAGATTGGTGGTTGCCTCTATTATCAGTGATTTCAGACCAAATGGTATGAGGTACTTTGAGCTCTGTAATTACTTCATACACTCAGGAATATTGGAAGATATTCTTGTGCTGTTCCCAGAGTTTGCTAGTGGAGGCTAATAGATTTACATTTCATGTTCTCTCTTGAATCCATGTATAAGTAACCATCCTGTGAGATGGGGATATTATATGAGCTTATAGCTAGTTTTTTTTTATCTACACTGTAATCTCTCATAGAGAATAGGGTAGCATTACATTGCCGTGTATACCTAAGCATGTTAATAAAAATAATAAAGTTACATTCAGAGGCACTTATATAGGTTGGTAGACACCCTACACATTTTTAATATGCCATTATCTAATATTTAGTTTTTAATTATATTAGTATGCTAATTATATTTGAATTTTAATTATATTAATATTAATTATTGATATAATCTCATTATATTAATTAATAATATTATAATAAAATATTAATTATAATATAATATTATAATATAATACATTATAATATAATATTAATATTATATTAATTTTTAATATGCATCACTGGACTCGGGCACTATACACCGACTGTGGTTTCATTGTGCATAACTTATTCATCTTTATTATTTATCATTATCATCACTTTTCCTAGTAGTAATTTATATAGAATATATATAAATTATATACACTGATAATTTATTAAAGTATTATTATAAAGTAATTTATATAGAATATATAGTAATTTATATACACTGATCTATATACACTAATTTATTTACCGGAATTTGAACAGCAAATTTGGTAAAGACATTATCTAAATTTTAAGTTAAATTCGGAAAACAAAAAATAAAATCTTTGCCATCTCTGTTTTATCATAAACTAAATGATTATTTTCTGCTAACATAGGACCAACAGATTTTGTGAAAACGCTGCTTTCACTCTAAACATACCCAAGGATTTGGGATGGGACAATAGAAAGGAATGGTGCCCAACCACTTAGACTGAACGGTAGAGTGACAGTCTTTCTTCATGCAAGTCGGTGTTCAATTCCGACCAATCCAAGTTGTTGGGCACCATTCCTTACCCCCGTCCCATCCCAAATCCTTATCCTGACCCCTTCCAAATGCTATATAGTCGTAATGGCTTAACTCTTTCCGCTGATAATTCCCTCCTCCCTCTAAACATAAACTGGCCGACCTCTCAGTATGAACCTATCCCGTCTCACTACGGGATCACCATAACCCGGCCTACTTGGAACTTTTGTTCAAAGTAGCTGAATCTAAAACAACAAAAACTCTCAGTATGGTGTTCAAATGAGAACTTGATTAACACTGCCAGAGAATACCTGATCAACGAGGCTATAATTCACATCAACCTGTGAGCAGCCGTGTCCAACAGTCTGGATGACCAGACCAGCAGAGACCTGGACAAAGACAGGGCCGCGGGGGACACTGATCCTCGGAATCAATGCAAGGTATCCGCGAGGTAGGATATGCAACTAAAAATATTCTCGATTTCATTTTTGTGTTATGGTCAGCGATTATGATTCATAGGATTATATTTACAAAGATGAATGTGTTTCTTTGCTTTGTATCATAACATAACATGTTCTAATCTATGGCGTTGATTATGTATTTGTAGTATCCGATAAGAACGGTTGCTGGCGTTAGGCTATACTTATTTTATTTTATTTTATGTATTTATATACAAGAAGGTACATTGGGTTTGTGAGACTACATAGCATAGTATTTACAAACTTGTAAAGCCACTAGTACGCGCAGCGTTTCGGGCAGGTCCTTAATCTAACAGATAATTTTAATTAGGTAAATTCTAGCAGAATTAATAAAATGATAACGGATACATTGCAAGAACAAATGAAAAAAATATACGTAAATTTCCACGCAGGAAAGTGAAATTCCGAACGTTTTCGTGTTTCAACACATTATCAGACATACAGAGAAGACATGGGGTTTGGGTTTATAATTATCTTTCATTTACATGAATGGTGATTATCTTTTATTGATATGACTGTGGAATCGATATTTTCAATATTTTGCACCGAAAAGTGAAGTTTACTGGGCAGCGTCACTCACCCTGCGAATGAACTTACCACCATACTGTAATGCTCAATAGCCATTCGGGCGTTCACAACGTTACTAAGGTATTAAATTGTCTGAACCTAACCTAACTGAGGACCCACAAATAGAAAACGGGACATCCCGTCAATTTTGTGAGCCGTTGTGATTCTTAGTACAGTTTTTTGGCCTTGGGAGCCCAAAAAACATTGCATACGTGGCTGGTGGAGCCGGTGGCTGAGCGGACAGAACACTGGGCGCGTGATCCTGTGGTCCCGGGTTCGATCCCGGGCGCCGGCGAGAGACAATGGGCAGAGTTTCTTTCACCCTGATGCCCCTGTTGCCTAGCAGTAAATAGGTACCTGGGAGTTAGTCAGCTGTCACGGGCGGCTTCCAGGGGGTGGAGGACTGGTCGAGGACCGGGCGGCGGGGACACTAAGCCCCGAAATCATCTCAAGATAACCTCAAGATGACGTCTGTAGCAAGGATATTGCATCAATAATATACTCGCTACACACTCGCATTATCTTAATGAGATGGGTTTGTAAATTCTACTTAGTCCACTAATTACGAATTCATACCTGTTCCCCAATGACAGTTAACACTCCTTCCCTACCTGCTAGAGGATGGTGAGGTGTGGACCGATTACACAAGCAATCGATAAGCGAATAATCTAGTAAAAAATCAGACACAGCCCCGCTCCTGTGCCAGGTAAGTTACGGGTTCACTATAGCCCGTGCTACTTGGAACTTGTTCCGAGTAGCTGAATCTATAACAACAGCAACAACGAATAATCTTTTTTACGGGCTATTCATGGCCATGCCACCTCTTGGGTGGCTTAATCTTCTTCAACCGAATAATCCTTTTTTCTAGAATGTGAAGCAACCAACGACCTTAGAAGAGCTTTAAGAGTCCCCGAATCTTGCAGTAACCGTCCTGAAGCCATCAACACTGCCACTCTTCTGGTCAAAAAAGGTGTCCAGCAGCTGGACACCCTCATAAATACTGTCAAGCAGTATCCTCCACCGCGATAGCAGCTTGACGATTAAATGCGACCTCAGCACAACGTATACATTTACTTTTTTTTTTTTTTTTTTTTTTTTTTTTGTTTTTGAGATATATACAAGAGTTGTTACATTCTTGTACAGCCACTAGTACGCGTAGCGTTTCGGGCAAGTCCTTAATCCTATGGTCCCTGGAATACGATCCCCTGCCGCGAAGAATCGTTTTTTCATCCAAGTACACATTTTACTGTTGCGTTAAACAGAGGCTACAGTTAAGGAATTGCGCCCAGTAAATCCTCCCCGGCCAGGATACGAACCCATGACATAGCGCTCTAAAAAAATCTACCACTTACGGGCTATTCATGCCCGTGCTATCTCTTGGGTGGCTTAATCTTTATCAATCAATCAATCGAATAATCTTCTTACGTCGTCTTATAATCTTCTAAATGTCCATTTCAAAATTTAGTTGGAACAAAATCCTCAAGAATTTAGAGGATTTTGACAAGATGCCGGCTTCCTGTTCCCGGCGAGGCTATTAAAGATGGTGGCCCTCAAGTAAAAACTATAGCTACCGTTGGCGCAACCCGTTCTCGCAAATTTAATAAGTCAATATTGACTTATCAATTGCGTGCATAGGTGACATACTAAACATAATAGTTTCCCTTGAAAAGATTCATAGAAAACACCGACCTTACCTAACCTTCTTAGTATGTTAAAATAAGCATCTTATAGCTTCGTAATTACAATTGTTACTTAACCTATTATAGGTATAGGTAAGGTAATAATTGTAATTACGAAGCAATAAGATGCTTATCTTAACATACTAAGTTGGTTAGGTAAGGTCTGTGTTTTCTATGAAGCTTTTCAAGGGAAACTATTATGTTAAGTATGTCACCTATGCACATATTTAATAAGTCAATATTGACTTATCAATTGCGTGCATAGGTGACATACTAAACATAATAGTTTCCCTTGAAAAGATTCATAGAAAACACCGACCTTACCTAACCTTCTTAGTATGTTAAAATAAGCATCTTATAGCTTCGTAATTACAATTGTTACTTAACCTATTATAGGTATAGGTAAGGTAATAATTGTAATTACGAAGCAATAAGATGCTTATCTTAACATACTAAGTAGGTTAGGTAAGGTCTGTGTTTTCTATGAAGCTTTTCAAGGGAAACTATTATGTTAAGTATGTCACCTATGCACATATTTAATAAGTCAATATTGACTTATTAAATTTGCGAGAACGGGTTGGTTGGCGGCACCAGTAAAAAAAAAAAAAAAAAAGTTGACCCCGCACCATAAAAAAATAGCATAAAACGTACCAAAGAAAACGTAAACATAGGGCAGCCTCGAGGAAAACGCTTTCTGAAGCAAAACGGTATATTAAGGACTGTAGTGTAAGGCCTGAAATGGATCGGATATTGGCGAAAAGTATGTCTAAAAAGTGGTTTAGACATAAACCACTTTTTATTAGATTTACCAAAATAAGAGTTCTGTAACTAACAAAATAAGAGCCCTGTATATAATAAGGGGGGGGGGGAAGAAAAACTTGAGATTCAACCAGCGAATAAAATAAAAATTGCCAAAGAAAACGAAAAGAAGGCTAAGTTTGAGATAAGCAGCGCGTGGTCAAGTAGAACGCAGAGGGATATGAAAGACCTAAAGACACGTAAGGGAATCAAGCAGGTCCTTGCAAGCCGGACGAAGACTAGACGGAACCCACAAAAAAAAGAGAAATCTGACAGGACTAAATGATGGGCAGAACAGTGTGGGGGCTGTCTAGACAGATTTGAGAAAAACAGAGGGCTGAGTTGGTGGACCAAAGAGCGGGCCAGACAGTGCTGAATAAAATTATGTCTAAAAGGGAGAAAGGTGGGGCGAAAGTAATTTTGGAATATGAAAAAGCTTTGTTACGAAATAAAGGTAAAAAATATCACCCGGGCAGGTGCCAAAGATTTCCTCTTATAATCTTGATGCCATGTGTATCAAAAGTGTCGTATATCTTGTAGAGGCAAAGCTCAACGCTTTAAGCCATGTTAATACTCTATTCACAGAGCATTCCTTCTCTCATATCATATATTTACCTGAGGACCGCTAATTTACTCTCTAGTGGCCCTGACGAAGACAGGAAGCCGTCGGCTTGTTGAAGGTCCCCCCCCCATTTGTCGTGCTGATTTTGTCTAGCTGTTTTTTTTAAATTCAGCAGTGTTTTGGCATTTAAGGCTTCGGCGGGTAGGCAGTTCCATGGGTTTAGTTTAGTTCCGTCATTATGCACCCCATACTCATTTGTGGGCGGTGGTGGAAAGGGTTACAGAGGCACATAATGGGCTCAGGGGACTGAACCCCACAATTCATTTAGCTAAGCAAGTTACAATCTTGATGAGCTAGTTACAAAATTCAGTATAAGTCGTCACATCAACAATGGGTTCGAGATCGACCACAAGTATAGTTTCTAAATTAAGCAACTGACATATGTGGAGAGCTAGTGTCACAATTGATATGTTTATCCTGCACACCGCCCCCCATCCAGTGGGCAGCGGTGGATAGGTTACAATCACTTAGTTACTACCTACAGTTAGCAAACTAGGGATATTTGGCTATAATTTCTGGAAGCAGATTCTGATAAGGGAAATGGGGCTGCAGTTGGCAGCAGTTGCCTCACGAGCGACGTCACTCAATAACACAACCAGCTGTTGTCCAGAGCGCCGCCAGGCCTGGGCTGAGGTGGCAAGCTCCACGACTGTAATTACTACTGGCATTTTTTATTTCAGATATAATTAATGTTAACTAGTAGATATAAATAAAATCAACATGTACAGGGACATCTAATCCCGAGTTCGACCCCTGGGCCGGACAAAAATGGTTTGGGCACGTTTCCTTTCGCCTAATGCAGCTGCTCACCTAGTAATAAATTGATACCCGCAGGTTAGGCAACTGTTGTGTGGTTATATCCCGGGAAGGAAGTAGTATGACCTTGGGGGGGACCTCGTTCTCGACTCAAAATCGAGAATTCAGAGTTTGTATCCCGGGCAAGATAGAAATGGTTTGGCACATATCCTATCACCTTATGGCCCTATTCACTTTGTAGTAATTAGGTACCCAGGAGTTAGTCAGCTTGCTGTGGGTTGCATCCTGTGGGGGTCAGTAATTTGACTTGGGAGAGGGGGGGGGGTTGACCTTGATATAAGCCTAACATGTATATATGTTTGGAACACAGTAACATAACAGTGGAGTTACTCAGTGCAGAGTTACAAACCAAATTACTTTATTACTATGCTATGTATCCTCACAATCCCAATGTACCTTCTTGTATATATAAATAAATAAATAAATAAATAAATAAGAGTTCAACTGAGATTTAACAGAACAATTGTTGTTGTTAAACACACAGGACAGAATCTTACTGCAGTGAACATATGAACTATAACTACTCATACAACACAAAGTGAGATAGAGACGAGAAACAAGTAACACTAAGCCACCCAGAGGCTTAGGGCCAATGCAGGAATATCCCCCCCCCTCAAAAAACAAAAAAAAAAGTAAATAGATACCTAGGAGTTAGCTTGTTGTGGGGTTGCATCCTAGGGAGAGTCATTCAGTAATTCAACCCTGGGAATGACCTCGATATAAGCCTAACAGGTATATATACACTGGCTGCCTGTTCCTCGACACAATGAATTAATCCACATTAAGATAGAAGTAAGGGAGTGTTGGGGGAGGAGAGGAAGGGAGCCAGCCTTAGTGGTGGCTTCTTCAGTTTTTCAAACACATTTATTTACTCAAAATATACATAGGCTACAGTAGTTGATGTAACCCAATGACATTCACACACACACTCCTCTCCAGGGTGATAAATTATATCAAATAGACACATTTGCATAAGCTATCCTTAAAGCATTTGTCTGGTTACCAGAACACCCAAGTCCTGCCCAAGTGTGCCATTCCCTGCCCACATTTGCAGTAATATAACACCCACACAAATTAAGGGCTACCTGTACTCATTACCACTCTCCTGTTTATATCCTAAGATGTGCCAGTCTGGGAATACCCTTTCTTGTGTGATGGAAATGTATCTGGTTATTAATTTAATATATTTTTATTTTTATTTCAGGTGCACTCTTGCATATTACTGAACACTACTGTATGCAGTACAGTAGTTCAGCAATGCTTTGCAAGGTGTTCCCATGCCAGTAAATATGGTGGAATTAGAAGAGACTTGGACTGAGAAGAGTTTTTATGATAAACCATTAACAATTTGGCTTGGAGAGGAAAGGTGTGATGAGAAAGATTCTCTTCTACTAGATATCTTCACAGCTGCTAGTATTGGCTGCTGTCAGCGTGTGAAGGATATTCTCAAAGAGTTAGTACACTATATGTACTTGCTATTTTTATTGGCATTAAAGAATTTTATAGTCTAAAACAAAAATAATAACAATTTGCAAAACTGCAGAGTATATTTAAGTGTGCAGAGGTATACTATAGTTTTACAGAGTTTTGTTGAAACTTACGTTATCTAAGTGCTCTTGAAACATTTGAACTTGGATCCTTTTAGTTAAATAATGTCATTAGTAATTTCTTGTCAGATTCAGACCAGTCTTTGCATAGTATGGTTGACAAAGTGTAAAAAAAAACAAAGTGTCAAAGTACAGTACAGTACTTCACAATAGTAGTGAGATCTTGGTTTAATTCAAATGAGGAATCCCTTGAGGGGCTGGTCAGCATTGTTTTTACCTGAATTTACCTGTACTTGTACTGTACTGTACCTCTAAAACTTCACACCAATGATAAATGTTTGATCTATTAGTAGCAAATAAAGGAAAAAGAACTTAAACATGTTACAAAAATTTGATGTTGAATACAATTTGAATACTGTACAGTACTTCATTAGATTTAAAAGACTTGACTCTTCATAGTAGAGCTGACTGAAAATAATTACTTACAGAGATAAGAATGCAAGTAGTCTTAAAAACCATGGTGGGTGGACAGGACTCATGTATGCAGCTTACTATGCACATTCTGATGTGATAAATGTGCTCCTTGAAGCTAATGCATCAGTACACCTTCGTAATGGCAATGGCTGCAATGCTCTGATGATGGCAGTTATGTGCGGGAATGATTATGGTGTGGAGATTCTCATCAAGGTTGGTTGGTATAGCTTATGCATGCATAGCTTATTTAAGTATGTTTATACAACCCGTCTTCCTACTAAGATTTTAACAGTGGACCATTAAAAAATTTGATTACTGTCCATATATCAATCCAGATTCACAAATACGTGTACTGTACAGTAATAAAGGCTTCTGTAGAATTCCCATTTTTTGGCTTTTTATAACCAAATTTCCGGATTGTGTCAAATTAAAAATGAAGTAAAACATAGAATTTTGTTTTAATTAAGCTGAATGGGTTTCTCAGAAGACCAACTATTTCTTTTAATTTCATGCCTATCAAAAACAAAATAAATAAAAAATGCATCCTGAACAATATTGAGGGAGTTACTATTCATACCCTAATTTTTCTCATGCTGTTGGTTTACCACCAGAAGGTCCTGGGATTGATTCCCCACACAGGATATACATTTGGGCACGTTTCTTACAACCTGATGCTTCTGTAACCTAGCAGTAAATAGGTACCTGGCCATTAAGCAACTGACAAGGCTCTACTAGCTTGCAGTGCCTGGCAAAAGTGTTGCTTACAAGTCTTTTTTTTTTTCCTATTTTTCTTTCTGGCCTGTTACTAGTCCAGGGTTCCAGTGGACTCAAGTTCCTTGTCATTCTAGGCTTAAGCACACAGGGTTCTTTCCACCTCTACCTCTGTAGGACACACAAGTTCAGGCTGACACACAGGGATGTTTGTGATTATGTGGAACCTAGGGGTGTCTGCTGGGTATACTGAAGCCTGAACATGGGATGTTGTCAGTTGATCATGGTTCTGTGAGGGAGGACCCATAATCTTGTCTCCAGGAGGGAGGCAAGAGTATGGGTCCTCCTGGGAAACATGTTGTCTCAGGTTTCCCAGCTTGGCTTGGAAGCAGGGCTGTGAAGTTACTTTATTTTATTATTATATATTTGTGTTTAATTTTATTGTATTTTGTGTCAATAATCTCACCATTATGGCATCAGGGAAAATATTTCACAATCAACATATAGTAGTGACTCCTACGACCTTAATGACCCTGTAGGGACAGTTTGAATTGTTCCTTGTGGCACCAATCAGTATGTTGTCCTTCCTGACGATGCAGGATCCTTGCCAATTTATACAGTGGTCTTTAGGAAGAAGCAAATAAATTACCCAAAGATGCTTTTTATTAAAATTAGATTTTTTTTCTTCAGGCAGGAAGCATCCTTGAAACCCGTGATAACCGTGACTGGACCGCACTTTTCCATGCTGTTAATTCTGGTCATCACACTGTTATTGAAACATTGCTCAAGCACAGAGCTAATCTTAATTCTTGGTAAGTATTTTCATGGAAAGCAGTCTATAATATTCACCTAGTTGTGCTTGTGGGGGTTGAGCAGCCCCATGCTCTGCTCTTTCGACCTGCCTCTCAACTGTCAATCAACTGATTTATTTTCTCCACACACACACACACACACACACCCACCCACCCAGGATGCAGCCTGTAACAGCTGTCCAACTCCCAGGAACCTATTTACTGCTAGGTAACAAGGGCATCAGGGTGAAAGAAACTGCCCATTTGTTTTTCGCCATTGCTGGGGATCAAACCCGGACCCTAGCGCTGTCCACTCAGCCACAGGCCCCCTAGTGTCCTGTCATTTATGTCTACCATAGTACTATATGCTGAAGACTGATTTTCTTCTTTTTAACTTCAGAGACAGATATACAGAAACTCAGACATACAGACTGATAGACAGACATGATGGGTTGATGGGTGGGTGTTTGGTTCCCATTGTGAGGGACAAAAAGCTTTTTGAGGTTATCAAAGTCCTCTTTGGCCAATGACACCTTTTCCACAATGCAACCTACAACAGTCACCTAACTCCTAGATGAGATGCGTGAAGAAAGAAGGGTGAGAAGGGATGACCTTGGCATAAGTGGTCTAGCTCCTGGTGGTTGAGGGGTTAAGCAGGCAGTTGATTGGTTGCAGAAAGAGAAAAGCCCTATCCAATTGCAAATACCTGTGTGATGTCATTGAAGCTGTCAGCATAGGCTCTGAGAATATACTGTACTCTTTCTGCACACTATTTGACATCTTTGCTGAATTGGTCCTTCTCTGGTGATTTCCAAGTTTGTACCTGTCATTAGTGTGCAGTTCAAATCCAACTTTAGGCCCTGTGACATTAGTCTTATATATTTCATTGCCTGATTGTCAGTGAACTGGATTAATGTGCAGTAAACCAATAGATTTCTGCACTTAGGAAAATAATTTGCTTTAGTAAGAGGCTTTTCACAACCTCAAGATATATTTTGTTGATTATTTGTGCAAGTTTTTCCAATACCTTTTGTTTTGATTATTTGCAGTGAGCGGACAAGAGGTATGACACCCCTTATGTATGCTGCACAACTTGGTGATGCAACCATTGTGTCATTATTGCTGCGAGGCGGAGCAGTCGTTTCCCTTACCAATCATCAGGGACACACAGCAGGGAGAATTGCTCAAGATGCTGGGTTTCCTGATATTGCTGCTAATATTGCTCAGTGGGATCTTCCAGGTATCTTAATGAGATCTGAAAGTAAATTCTTCTCTCTACTTACACTGAAAATAATTTTTCAAAAAGCCCTCATATTTATGCTTCTGAAGCATGACAGTTCCTAAGAACTGATTGTATTATTGATAATTTGTAACTCCTTAAGAAACTGGAATCTTTCAAAATATGCTTATCAAGCTTATCTAGAAATATTAAGCTTTGAATATAATGAAACAAACTCGTCTGTAGTGGCCTCCTCAAGCTTATCTGTGGTATCACCAGGCCAATGAGATGAGACCCAATCATTGTCTACTGGGAGCCAGAACCTGAAACTGGCTTACTACAATGTAAGGGGGGGGGGGGGAAGGAAATCAGAGATCAACTACAAAACTCACCAGAACCACAAATGCCACAAAAAATAGACTGCTTGAAGGAAATTAGACACCCCTAGGTACACAATAATAATAATAATAATAATAATAATAATAATAATAATTTTTATTTAGGTAAAGGTACATACATAAAGAGATTTTACAAAGTTTGTTGGCTTTATAGATAGAGCTAGTACATACAATGCCTAAAGCCACTATTACGCAAAGCAAATGATCATGGCTGTCGGGTATATACCCTGACAATGATGCACCTTATTGCTGCCAAATGACGGCCTAGCCACATTAGTTCTCAGCCAGCCTGCTCTCCTCACTCTGGAGCCATCTATTCAAAATCCTGGATTCTCACAAGGAAGAAGAAAACAGGAAGCCAGTGGAGGCCCACCAGAAAAAGAAGTGTCATTACATTTGATTCCTTGATTTCAGTGGATTCCAGAGTGCACTCGCAATGGTGTCTCGATAGAAGAGACTAGTTTTTCCTAAAAAGAGAAATGGCAAACAAGGCCAACCAAAGGAAGAACAGCAGAAGTGAAGGGTCTGGGCCAAAAACTGGCAGCCACATCTAGATCAGCCCTTAGATCTTTTGTTACCTCCCCTGTTTATGAACTAATGTTGCAATGACACACCACTGGCCAAAAAACAGCTGAGCAGTCAAGTGTCCACTTGCTCTTGTGGTCCCCCTAAAATGAGGGAATATTATAAAATGAGCTGTAATGGCTACATGATTTACACAATATGGATGTACATACCCCTCAAATTAAAGCTGAAAGTTTGCAATGTTAACTGCTTGTGTATTGTTTCATTTCAAATCCAATGTGCAAGTATTCAGGGCCAAAAAACAAACATTGTGTCATTGCCCAAATACTTTTGGACCAAACTGTACATACTTTATAAAAAACAAGTATGAAATAAGTCATGCTTAAAGACTGAGAGAGTACTATGAAGAGATCTTGCATTGAGGCAGCTGCTCAAGGTTTAGAAAGTGATACTTTCAGCTGTCAGGGGGCCTGACAGCTGAGTGGACAGTGCTTGGGATTCGTAGTCCTAAGGTTCTGGGTTCAATCCCCGGTGGAGGTGGAAACAAATGGGCAGAGTTTCTTTTACCCTGATGTTCCTGTTCACCTAGCAGTAAATAGGTACCTGGGAGTTAGACAGCTGCTATACGCTGCTTCTAGGGAATGTGTAACTAAAAGAAGGTCTGGTCAAGGACCGGGCCACGGGGACAGTAAACTCTGATATCATCTCGAGATATCCTCAAGATAAGATACTTCTGCCTTCATAACTTCAGCACCTTCTGGGGATTACCAAAAATGCTGGTTACTGTATGAATGACTACAGTTTCTTTAACTCCATTGCATATTTAGATTAGTGGGAAAATTGCTGCTATGGATACCAAACCCATACAATAAAATAATTACAGTACAGTATAATACTAGTAACCATATTTTAATTTGATTTTGCCTGATACACATGAGTACTGTACATTACAGTTGGATTTTACTCCATTACTGTATTTATATTGTATACAGTAAGAAGAGAATAGGTCCTTGAAGTAGCTCTAAAGAGGATTCCTATGTAACATATTTGAGTGAGAATGCGTTACTGATGGATGTGTGTTAAATAGCTCTTGATCCAGTTTTGTATGCTTTTTTTAATACAGTAAATATATAAGTTTTATGTAGCTGCATACATAGTTGACAAATATTATGTTCTAAGAGATATTATTCCCCACTTTTTATACATGTAATGCAATGTGGTTATAATACATCAATATAGATGTAATGGAGTTAACATAGATCATGAACATTTTTTGTTTAATTTGTAATTGCTTATTATGTGATAAGGTTATTGTGTACCAGTAGCTGTGTGATTATTGTCAAATCACAATCTGGTGTTTCCTGCCGGTGTTTGATTCTATTTCTCAATGACATTACTAGACAGAACAGTAGCTAAGGAGTTGATTGCAAGACACTGCTTTTCAGCTGTGGCAGGAACAGATTTGCATGCAATTTATGTGTACTGTATACAGTATATTACATTGTAGGTTTGTATACAATACTCAATCACTGTTTTTGTAAATTTTGTGTTTGCAAAATTTTGTCCTACGAGTCCATAGATTCAATGACCTACCTCCTCACCTGGCTTCCTCTTGACTTGTACGAAATTAAAAACGTGACTTTAAATATGTATTGTTATTTTTTTTACACAGGCAGAGTGGCACCAATTATAATAACCGCATTTAGAGGGTTAAAGCTATTTTAACTGCTCTGTATTACAGATGAGCTTTGTAAATTGCAAAAGGTGCATTATTCTTCCACACTTTAATTTCTTTATCATCAGGTCTAAGTGGCCCAAGCATACTTGATGGTCCAGCAGCAGTGGAAGTAAGAAGAACACACCAACAACCTCAAACACCGAGGGGCAGAGGAAGTGTAGTTCCCTGTGTTGATAACGGTTTGCATCACAACACATTTGCTTCTTGATAAATAGTGTAGTGCAGGAAAGGGTAACCTCTGTCCTATAGTCTGAAACTGGATCCTTACATTTGCAAATACCAGTACTGTATAATATGGTATAGTTATGGTGTACTGTATAGCAAATTTCAAAGGATTAAGGAAGTTATAAGAGTTAGACATTTTTGTTGTGTGACTTAACATTTCTACATAAGAACAAAGTAAAATGCTGAATAAAATATCCTGACATGAGCTGGATTCAAACATGTGTAGGCTGGATCTAAATGCTGCATAATGTAGAGTAATGGATATGTCAAAGAATGTAGTAATTACACCATTTCCATCTATCATAGATTGCAGAAATACTCTTATCAGGATACAATAGAAAGTACTACAGTATATTAAAGAAAAATATGGTTAAGGATATAAACAATAGCGACATCAAGTCTTTCATACTACCCACTGCACTGTACCATCATTGGCAGCAATACTATAGCTATTCCTTAGACTAGGTGGAAAGTAAGTACTGCTGTAAAGTGGAACCTTAATAATTGGGATTACTTAGGACCAGTTCCCTTCCAAATCTTCAAGGTCTTCAGAGTCTCTATGTTTACTGGTCTTTGGATATTTATTGCCAAACTTGTGTTTTCCTTACTGCAAATTATATAACACATCTGGTGTTTATTGATCTGAAGAAAACATATGAGAGTGTGAACAAAGAACTGAATGAAATGTTGCACGTGCATAGCGTAAGTTGGCTGCTGTTAGAGTAGTGAAAGGTTTATGAAGGAAGCAGTGTGTGCAAGGGTTCATGATGCAATGGGAGAAGATTAATTACAGAAATTTAAACATAGAAACATGCAGAGGCTGTGTAATGTCTCTAGGGTACTTAACGGTGCAGTACAGTACAGGTGGGCTATTTAAGTTAGGTAAAAGCATTGAAAAGGGTGGAAAAGAATGTATGATATTAATACGTGATTTCTTTAAAGCTTTTGGATGCAGATGAGGCAGTTCTTCTGGGGAAAAAAATTAAAGTAATACTGTATACAGTATATAGGATATTTTAAAGTGTATGTTTGTTTATAGTCTTCTCTAAATGAAGGTATCAAAAAGTTTATGGATAGGTGAAAGATAATTTTACATGCAATGTCATGGTGAATGGAGAAGAGCTGGAATCTCTTAAGTTCAAATACCTGGCAAACATGATGAAGGTAAAACATTATCAAATTAAAGTGATAGAAAAGTGTGCCAAAAGTGAAAGTGAGTAGTGCTTTTAAATCATGGTTAGGAAGAATGAGACAAAAAGGTACAAAGAAAGAGAACTAATATGTAAGTTACTGTGTCAACACTTTACTGTTGATATTATATTGTGGTCTGGTCAAGTTGATTAGATGATAGTAGTGAAATGCATCTGAGGAAATATGAGTGTAGGATTAAGAAAGGAAGGCCAGTAAGATGGGCAGTTTTACAATGGTGTGTGAATAAATTATATACACAGAAATCACAATAGTGTGATATATCAAATGAACAAATCCACAAGGGCCTTGATGAGGGTTCGAACCTATGTACGGGATGCTCCCAGACACGCCCAAGTCAACTGTACTATATTTTGTCTGAACCAATTCTTGAAGTACTTTACACTTTGTTTATGATACTGCTGAGATGCTGCTTGGGAGGACTTGTTGTTTTGGGGTAGCTACTAGTTCTCCATGATGGTAGAGTGTGGATAATAGTGTAAAATGCTAGGTGTTGATATCCTTAACTCACTTTTCATACAATAACATTCCATCATCTTCAGATAAATATTGTTCCCACCATGGTGGTGATAGGGATAAACTCAAATGTAAAATGAGACAATTGAAATTCTTAAAAAAAAATTTTGGCGGTGGATCAGATTTTCATTGTTTGGTGTGGCTTCAGTTTTGGACTTGGCAAGAATGGTGGTGGTTTAACACAGATTGATAACAATATAACTGTCCATCTTTCATTTAGTTTAATATTAAAAATACTGTACATAATTATAGTTAAAAATTTTCTTGTACAGTATCATAAAATCAGTTTGTACTATCTTTATTCCTGCCTTGGAGGATATCACTTTTATTTTGTAATGTATATTTTAGCCAGTATTCAACCAACGGATCTCGAGACCTTGCTGGATCAAATTGGACTGAGCTCGTACATGAGTATCTTCCGGGAACAGGATGTGGATCTCCAAATCTTCCTCACATTGACAGACCAAGACCTTAAAGAATGTGGCATCCAGTAAGTTGGAGGCTGTATGATGTAAATAATAAAATATATAATATATATATCAAAATATATATAAAAATATATATCTCCTATCTCTTAAGCTACTCTCATCCTTTTGAGATGTATCTTATTGTCTCAGTAAACTTGAAAGTTATTTATGATTTAAATTTTCTTTTGGTGACCCTCGGCATTAATATTTTCTCTTAAAAAATCACTGATTGTGCTATTACTTAGTAGGTATTTACAACAGGAATGTTTTTGTCATATTTATCTTGTACAGTATTATATTTTATTATTTCTGAGCAATAGCATTCTGTTGCTACCTAAAGCAATATCCTGCTTGTTTCCCAAGTAGGATCTGGAATAGTCAGGGCACGTCAACATCCTGCACCAGTAAAGCAGCGACCTCTTCACATACCCCTACTGGGTTGTATTGGTACACTCTGAAGATACTGAAAAATATTTTTGTTCAGACTGATGACGTATAGACTCATTCCAACCTCTGCAAAGCTATTCCAGTTGCTATGTTGCTTCACAACAGTTGCTAATTATTGCTCTTAATAATTAACAAATGGCCTACCTGGTCACTACCTTTGTCTGCCACCGGATGGCAGTACCTACTCAAGAGAGTTTTTTGCCCAAGCTTAGTTACACTTCTCCTGACTGCACCTTAGATCAATTTAATTCTGGTATCTGCCTACACTTGACTAAGTGACGTATCATTATGAATATTATTTTCATAGTGCACTGGAGTGGATTCTTTGTGTGCATGTATGCAATGGTGTTGTATGTTTTAAGACTTTGACTGACTGTTCATGCTGGTCTTGTTCACTGTGCATTTGCTAGTGTTGATTTTGTTTTGGAGTTACCACTACATTCCTTGGTACGCTATTCTAGGACATACATAACATGTTGTTTCTTGCAATGAGAAACATTTTGCAACTACAGTACTGTACTGTGTATCACTTTTTTGTGTGGGGTGCAGTCCAGTTGTTTAACCATGTAGACAGGTTTTGCCTTTGTGCCAAGCAATTTTTAGCCCCTTTTATTTTTTAAATGTAAGTTATTTTTGTTTACTGGTCTTTGGCTTCCCATTCCTTGTCTTAGTTTTGTGGTTAGACTGGGTTCGATTATGGCCAACTGACAGATTTTACTCTGGCAATCAGATCTCTTCTATATATATCCTGTTGACCTTGTATGATTCTTGTTTGCTTCTCTGCTGATTTTCCATGGGAGTTCATAAACTACTGTTTGGTAGAGTTTGCAGGAGTTCAGTACAGTAATTTTTCACAAAGGCAGTCAATTTTTTGTTCTCCAACAATGTTGAGATTGGGGGGACCCCTGTTTGAGTTGTCATTGTCTCCACTGTGGTGAATTTTGCAGCCTCCAGGGTTTCTAGAGGTTTATTTGGATTTGCATTTTTATCCGATTGTTTTTAATTTTAGTGACACAACATGTGGGCTGTTACATAGGTGCAAGAGTTCTTATTTGTAAACATCTTGCTTCAGTCACTGTATGTACTGTACTTATTATTTTAGAGGATGCTTTGATCAAATTCTGTATATGGTCATTTCTTTCAGCTACATCATCTGCTGTTATGTCATGATTCAAGCTTTTCTGGTACAGGTGTTTGTTGGTTCATGGTTGGAGGCTGTGTGCTATCCTATCTTTGTTCTAAGGCAGGTTTATCTGCAAAGCCTCAGTCTCATCAGGAACGGTCCCCGCCTCCCTCCTCTGACCCGGGAGAGGGATGGGGTTAGATGAGTGCAGTAATACGCTGAGAATTCTGATCAATGGTAACAAAATAAAAACATTAGAGCAGGCTTGTATAATGTAAAAAATGTGGTATGCCTCTTTGCATTAATGATTGCTTAAATTATTTACTAAACAAAAAAATAATTAAAATAATTTGTAAAATGCTCAGATGCCACACCTGCCCACCCCACTAGTTACTACTGTACTTTCTCCCAGTCAGTCATCAAGCCAAATGCCTCCAGTCAGTTGCCATGCCTGCCACCATTTTTACAACTACAACATTCCATCACAGCCAATTTATGCATAGCAGAATATTTGTATTTTTAACTTATTCATTTTACATAAATTTCTTGCATTTGTAAAGAACCTAATTGCATTTGCATTTCTTGGGTTGAGCACACAGAGCGGGAGCTGAAAATCCATGGCCGCAGCATGGGGTCAACACATTCTTCGTTAGCTCTTGCCACTGCAGCAGGGTCAGTGAGTTTCATATGTTGGTGAGGAGGCAAGCGTTTGTGGTGTTGCGTAGGGTTAAGTTACTTGGTTACACCCGAGTCCTATGTTTTAGCCCAAATTGTGACTACTAGTAGTGTTTCAGAGGTATTTGATTCTAATTAAAGCCTGGTTCCTGCATCTTATTGTCCACCATTCAATAAACTTGGTTTTATTACTTCAACTTTACTCACAAGTCCTCTTGTTATGTTTCTGAGGCAACCCTCACACTGTGCTTCCCTGTATCAACCCTCTCACATTTTTGCACAGACTGATATAATTCAATTATTCAATAGGCTTACCCTATTGCCCAGGATATTTGCAAATTTGTGATGTGTAAGGCTTCCTTCTCGGATATATGTTGTTCCAAGATTCCTGTCTACAGGCTGTTGAAGGACTAACCAAGTTTTCACAGAAGTACCTGCTATAAAAATTCATTGCTTCTATGTATTTTGTTTAGCATTAGGCAGACTTATCTTAACACAGTGGAAGAGTAATAAGTTAGCACTTTGTTGCTCTCAAGTGAATCCTCCTTGCTTATGTTTTGTTTTCTTTGTCCATCTATGACAACAATTTTTAGTGCAATGGAATGCACTAGCTTACAAATATTGAACAACTTGGAGTACAGTAAATATCAAAGACTTTCTGAGCATTGCTATTTGGTTCCCCCAATCCTTCTCTTTTGTCTGTCTGTAGCATGGTGTATCAAGAAGTGCTGATATTTGGTGGCAGCTGGGGTAATAGGTTGTGATCACTTAATGAGGTGGAGATCTCATTAAGTGGTCACATTTGATCACCAGGGAAAATTATTACATGACTGAATTTTTTTGGAATGCACCTCTATTGGTCCCTCAGGGCTGTACTGAGCTTATCTCCAGTGACACTAGAGAACCTTTAATGAATCTCCAAGAACAGCAGGAAATGCTCTCTGCAGGGTAAGTGATCCTGAAAATCATGATCCTTGCCTAGAAGACACCGATTTTTCTTTTAGGGCGGCCAAATGATGTTGCTCAAAAAGGGGCAATTTTTTTTTTACTCTGTCATATGTTTAACTAATTGTATCAATCTTATAATCAACTTCAATATATTAATGGTAATGTTTTTTTCAGAAAGCTTGGGCCACGTCGAAAGATGACCTCTGCAATTGCTCGCTGGCATAGTAATGCTCCTTTAAGGAGTACAGCTGAGTGTGCCTATGCTGATAAACTAGAAGTAGAAATGCAAGAGTTGGGTGTGAAACTTACACAAGCTTTGCACTCTCTCCACCAAACAAAAACTCAGGTTAGTAATTTTCATTTATTTGACGTTGTTGTGTGCAACAAATATCACTAGAATTTATGTATGTTTATCATGTTTTTATATGATACCCTTGAAACACGAAGCTATTTTCTTAATAATCTTTCTTTATACTATACTCTTAAATGTTTTACATGCCAGGTTAACCAAGAAAATGATTTACGTGTTGTGACGGAGGGTTGGGTAGTGGAGGCTCGTGGACGCTTGCATGAATGCCACCAGCGGTGTCAAATGCTCATAGAACAAGTGGCTGCAGTTCGTCGTTGCACCTCTGTCCTCTGTGCTCAGGCTTCCCTTGGTAAATTACCTCTCATCCAACCTACTCTGATCTCTACAATTGTTGATACACTGACAATGATTGCAGCCCAAGCTGACACCTTGATGGCATTAACAGACCCCAGTGTTCCTCGTGGTCCAAGTAACCCTTCTTCACCTCGTAAGCAAGGATACAGAAGCTATCCCAGTACACCACGATGATGATAAGAAGTCTCTATTTATTTTCCTATATTTTTAGTATATTGTCTATTCATAAAGCAGTAATTGAGATCAGAAATTTGCAATACTGTACTTGCTTTCATAATACATTATGGTGTTTCTTGTTATATTGAGACCTTGTTGCTTGTAACAATTTCACTGTTTAAGGCAGAGGAGAGTCTGTAAATAGTAATTTCCTCAAGAAAGGGTAATGCTCAGGATGAAAAAAAAGTATGGATGATATAAATATGTACAGTAATTCTTTCATTTTCTTGTAAGATTTTTGAATGAAAAAATACTATGACAATCATACAATAGCTCAAAATGGAGTTCAAAAGCTCAAAACTCAAAACTCAGAGCTCAAAACTAATGTGCCATATACAGTACAGGAATATTTTTTTAAAAATTGTTTTATAATGTTCTTTTAAATAATTTTATGATATATTCAAAGCAATTATTCTTGGCTGGCCCTCAGTAGCTCTGTGGTACTGTACATTGGCTTTGGTATCACAGGGACATCCACAAAATAACCAGGTCTGAAAGTATGCTGGCCTACTGAATACCAGAGGATCTGAGATTGGCCCAAAACCGAGCTAAACTGCCCAGAAAGTTCAGGCAATGAGAGATATGAAAACAAGGGAAGCAGTAGTGTGCCCAATGGCAACACCATGTTTAAGTACCCAAGTGCACCACCAAATGGAAGTTCAGGTCACCCAGGGGTCCAGCCTGCCTGCCTTGTCACTCTTGTTCCTGGTACCAAGAACATTACCATACCTCCTCCGTGACACACACTGTTTTTTTTAGCTAAGTGGGGGGTTTAGCATTTCTTGGGACTTTGATGTTCTGTGCGGGGGATGAACCATGCTGAATGTTTATTTTTTCAAATCACTTCATGATTGTGTTTATGTTCCCTTTCTTGCAAGTCCTTAACAGATTAGTTCTCCTAAACTTTGTTTCAGGGTTATCTTCCCTGGCATTAACTGATGAGAAAAAGAGAAATATATGTAATCTTTTTTTTCTTAGGGGTTTGAATAGCCTCTCTTTCTCGGACTTCTCTTGAGTTGCTCTTTTGTCTGGGTAGTGCTAGGGACTTTGGCCTCAAGCCAGACCTGTTGATGGGAGTTGATTAAGTTCACTATCATCAGAGTTGTCTGGTACCCAGGAATTTGGTATTTTCCCAATTGGCTCAATTTGGGTTTATCATAAACTTGAAAAGTTACAGTTGATAGGGTTGAAATTGGTCAAGGTCTTCAGGGCAATTTCTTTCTTCTATGTAGTCAGCCTTGCTGCAACTTTGGGACCATCTTTGGCTAGTGTTAAGAGGCCCTCATATCAAGTGCCTTCTTGGACACCTGAATGTTTCCTATATGGTCTTCCAGTTGGTTCAAATTTGGCTGAAAGCATTGTACCTGCCTTCTGCTTGAGGAAAAGTTTTGCCTCCACTAGGACAGCATGGTGTGTCCTTGTGTCTTATGCAAGATATCAATTCAAGATTTTCTTCACTAGATTTTTTGGCGTTTGGTATGTGGCACCCTCTTCTTAGTCACTAACATTCCTCACAACACCAGTCAGAGGTTGGGATCCATTTGCCTGTGGTAGTTTGCACATATAATGGCAGGAGAGTTTGCAGCAGTTTAGACGGCACTACGGTTCACTCCTCTTGAGGTGCCATTGAGAGTATGTACTGGGCATCTACTTAGGGCTAGCCCAGAAATCTGGTGATGAATGTAATGCAATACCAATTTCTGAGCCGTCTCAGTAGCTCCCTGTACCCACTCTTCTTTATCCTTCTTCCACTTGGGGATCAGGTGCATCTTGGGGATGACATACAAGTTAGGAGGCAGGCAGGTTGGACCTCTGGATTACCTGAGCCACCATCTTTTCTCTCTTTAATCAAAATATATATAATTTCTTTTGTTTTACCTGTACTTTCTAGGTGATATTACTTGGTTTTGGGTTGGTCTCTGATTCCTGTGATCCTCTCGAATCTATGAACACATCAGATTCTGGTCCTGATATTCAGTTGACCTGTGCAAGTCCAAAGGCTTGGTAGTTTTGTATTTGTTTCTGTAGTTCTATAGCCAATGCACAGGGAAGCTGTGAAGCCACCCAGAAAAAAAAGAGCATTCCATTACATTCATTGCTGATTTATTTTTTAATTAATTTCAATTACTTTTTACTGTACTGTACAATATATCTTATTATCCTTTACCACATGCTGACAACAATGATAGGAGAAGTTATGTACAGTAGATCACTTTCCAATGTTGGTTCTTTGTGAAATCACATTCTTCATGTACAGTACTTTCAATGTCACTTGCTGACTTTCACTTTCAATCTCTTCCTTCAATATATTTTCACTAGTACCTAGCCAATTTAGTGGCACTAATATAAAAAGAACAATTAAAATTTCAGTGGTGGCATTCCTCCTGTTTGATTCATTGCCTCCTACCACTTCTCTCAACTTTGTTAGGCTACTTGTATGAGTGAGAAGTTTGCTTTTTCTCACCTCTCCTATGTCATCCAACTTTCAGACAAGTTTCTTGTGTAGGACTTTATTGAGTGCCATATTTAGGCCCAGATAGATGTAGTCTGGCAAATTATGTTTTTTTCTTTAAGATCTCTGTGGTCCTGTTGCCTATTATGTCAGTTCTTTTGGATATTCTTAACATTTAACTTGTAATACTTTCTAGCAATTTGACTACCACACTGGTCAATAATACTGGTCTGTAGTTTAATGGGTCTTCTGTCACTTTTCATAAATTGAGACCATGTTATCTTTTTTTTAAATGTCTGCAAGGTAGACTGCTATGCTCATGGGTGCAGATTCAGGCACCAAGTTGGAACACCATTTGGTTCAACTGCTGTGTGTTTAAACTGATTAAATTGCTTAGAATACTACTTAACCCTTTAACTGATGATAGTAAGAATGTGTGTATTGGTTCCTGTATGTTCATGTATTATTTTTGTGTGCAAATTGCACATATTTGTATGAGAGTATTTGTGTTGTGAGTGTGATCATTTAGTAATAATTGCCTATTCATGGTTTACATGATAAATCTGACGCTCATGGTGTTCTGTCTTCCTTGATAAATTTTTCACATTTAACCTAAGGCTTTCCATGTGTTTGCAGTTTTGTAATGTGGGTGTGAATTGGTATTTTGTATCAAGATTAATAATGCAATTCATTCAAAAGTTTACACATGTAATTTTTAGTTTGTTGTTTGTGTATGTATTACAAGTCTAGGTAAACGTGTGCTATCAATATCGCAGACTTCATATGCCTTAAATATGCATAAGTAAATATTGAGGCAGTACAGTGGAATTTAACCTATGTTTGTGAACTTGTGAGACAGATACAAACAATTACCTTTGGTAATTAATTACCTTAAGTAATTAATTACCTTAAGGTAATTAATTACTTAAGGTAATTAATTACTATCCTCTTACTGAATACACTTAGTTTTTTATGCATTTGACCCCGGCATAAAAATGCAGTGGTTTAGGGAACTTAAAAACACTCCAATAGTGACATTTCATGGGGCTAATGATTATCAGCTATGGTAGATTAGGTGGATAGCCTAGGTTCTGACAGTTTTTGTTAGGCTAACTCACTGCATTTTTTACAAAGGGGAAATTGAAAGAACAAGATCTGCACACACACACACTGCCACATTTTATTTTATCGCCATTAATCAGAATTATGCATTCTATATTTTTTTGTTTAATGTCAGATTAGACTTGTCAGTAATACAGTACAAACTTAAGATTATATATGTCCTACAAATTCAAGAATGTTTACAATTCTATTAATTTATTAATAGATAGTTAATTTCCTAGTGCAGTATACTGTATATATATATATGTATAGATATATGGTAATAGTTTTTATACTTTACTAGCCAATAAAATTGTAATACATGCAATTGTTACATATATAGAATACAATATTTGTAAGTACTGTACAGTATAATAGAATAAAATCAGAAATATATTCCATAGTCGTATCTCTCATAAGCTGCTTGCTAGGTTCAACAACCTGTGCAGTAATACCAGATTCCTTGCCTAAATCTGTACAATAGTTAGTTCTAGTTTATGCATCAGTTTATCTAAAGTTTTACATTATATGTAGTCATAGAATATTAAAAAGTTTCTTGTATGTTGGAAAAAGTTGAAATCAGTCAATAACTAATTTTTGGAGGGAATATGTGACTGGTTTCTTTTTCATTAGAATTTTAAATGAGTTACAATTTATTTGAGTTATTAATAAATTTTGATGTGTTTCATGCATCATTTATACCTTACTGTACCATATTTGCATTTACCTGTATTAAAATGTTAAGACTTTATTTTTTGACGATTGCGGAAAGTACTCATGCAATAAAGTAAAATGCATTATCCAATTTGGGTAGCATGGTGTAGAAAATACTTGACAAAACTGTCAAAGTGTTTATTTAGTTGTTGCATTTTTATTTTTAAATGCTTTATTTATTATTCTGTTCTATTCATTTAGTGTGTGTTCCAATTTTCAGCTGGTGAAGATATGCATGTGAAGTTCTATATGAATTAACACTGTAAGATGGTAACTGTCAATTCCACGTACCATTCATAGCATGAGCCACCTAAATGATGTAAAATACTCTCCAAAACATATTTATTAACTATTACACTGCAGTGTCCTAGGTACCATTTGCAGGACTAGCAAAATAGCTACACTAAAAAGCTTAAACAGGTGCAATTCTATTGCTCAATTCCTTGGAATAATTCAGGGTATTCAGGTTGACTGAAATGTAGGGATGCTGTTAAAGTATGGATTCAATCGACTTGAGAATGGTCCAAGACGGACCGAAACGTCGTCGTCCCTTCACCTTCTAGTTTGTGGTCTGGTCAACATACTTTAGCCACGTTATTGTGACTCATCGCCTGCAAAGGAGGATAAATGGGGGAAGGAATATTTCCTTACATTTCTCAGATATATTTGCATTTCTAACTTCCTTCTATTTCATCTTGATCTCTTTCTTTCAATATAGAAATAGGTTTTACCTATCCACTTTTGCCTCTTTGTCAGTATTTTACATATAGTGATCACATTCTCCCTGCTCTAGGAGTTGTTAGGCTGAAATGAGAGAAGGAGAGAGATGAAGGGGAAGAAATGGGGGATAGGGGGGGGGAAGAAAATTTATATTATATATATATATATATATATATATATATATATATATATATATATATATATATATATATATATATATATATAGAAATAAAAATGAATTTTGGAGAATATTTTTGATTTACCTCCAACAGTGAAGCGTATGTACGAAAGATTGAGAAAATTCGTGTTAGAATTATATCTTACTTTTTCGGTATATATATATATATATATATATATATATATATATATATATATATATATATATATATATACTATATATATTTTAAGCAATTAAAAACAATAGATATGAATCGAATATTAGTAGCTACTAACATTCGATTCTTCAACAGACATTTCACTTCATTGTACCGTTATTTGCTCCATATTTGACCACTGTATAGATGCTTCTTTTGCATTTATATCAAACTACAGACATTAGAAGTAATGTAGGAGCTATTTAAAATTATCCTCAAGAATTTCACATTTACAGGAATCCTTTATAATACTAATAACATCTGCAATATATTAACAACGATTCCACGAAATATTAACAACCTCCGACGAGCACAGTTCCCGCCCTCACAGCACAGTTCCCGCCCTCACAACACAGTTCCCGCCCACACAACACAGTTCCCGCCCTCAACACTGTTCCCGCCCTCAAACCACTGTTCCCGCCCTCAAACCACAGTTCCCGCCCTCAAACCACAGTTCCCGCTCTCACAACACAGTTCCCGCCCTCAAACCACAGTTCCCTCCATCACAACAGTTCCCGCCCTCACAGCACAGTTACCACCCTCAAACCACTGTTCCCACCCTCAAACCACAGTTCCCACCCTCAAACCACAGTTCCTGCCCTCACAACACAGTTCCCGCCCTCAAACCACAGTTCCCTCCATCACAACAGTTCCCGCCCTCACAGCACAGTTACCACCCTCAAACCACAGTTCCCACCCTCAAACCACAGTTCCCGCCCTCACAACACAGTTCCCGCCCTCAAGACACGGTTCCCGCCCTACACCACGGTTCTCGTGGAGGGAGTATACGGCAAATTGCCAAGTTCTTTTATTAAGTATATCCCCCTACTGGGGCGGCTCACGCCAGAGGCAGAATGCAGCCGTGATGTCATCGGTGTCGTCCCAAGAGTGTCCCGGCCACAGAATTATCGTGATGGCTGGGAAAACTCTGTATTTGAACAGATACAGGAAGCAATAGTAGTTACGATCGACTCTGAAACTGCCTGCATTATGATCGCAAAGCTGCACTCTCGAGCACATCGTCTCTGAAATTGCCGGAGCTTTAAATTCCCTCCAATTTTGTGAATGGGGAACACAACGGCACCTCCGTGGTTACAAGGCTGCAACTAGAGTGACGCCTCGTACGGAGACGAAACGCAGTAATCTGGTGGTTGCAGGTGTGTCGCAGGTTTGGTTTTACCAGTTAGTTAGTTTAGTTCATTTATTATGCACCCCATACCCATCTTGTGGGCGGTAGTGGAAAGGGTTACAGAGGCACATAATGGGCTCAGGGGACTGAACCCCACAATTCATTTAGCTAAGCAAGTTACAATCTTGATGAGCTAGTTACAAAATTCAATATAAGTCGTCACATCAACTATGGGTTCGAGATCGACCACACAACAGATGCGAGTCTGTGTAATTTATATTTATTGTATTTTATACAACAGCCACAGCAACGCGCGCGATGTGGAACGTTTTGGAAACTATAAACAGTCATGGCATAAATTTTGTCATACCGCCTCCGACGTTCAAGAACATAACAATGAATGTATTTGACGGCGTTGTTTTGCCAATAATGCTTCTGATGGGGGGGGGGGGGGGGGAAGGGGGTCACCCTGTAACACATACAACCTCCCGAAACTTTGATGCCAGAATTTACGAAAACACAGGGGCTTCGTGGCTGAGTGGACAGCATTCGTGGGTCGTACTCCGCCCGGGTTCGTTTCCCGGCCGAGGCAGGAACAAATGAGCAGAGTTTCTTTCATCCTGATTTTCATGTTAACCTACCAGTAAATATGTACACGGGCAGCTTCATGGAAATGTGTGTGTGTTAGAGAGAAATATATAGCTTACATAATAGAGGAAGAATAGGTTGGTTAGAAAGGCGGGGTGCGATAGCTAAATAAGCTGATTCTATAGGCACAAATAGTAAATACAATATGCAACGTTTTTGTTAGTTTAGGTTTCAACTGAGTATATTTTGCGAGAGATGACAACATTGGGCAAGATAGGCCTCGAGCTGCCTTCTGTGGGAAAATTCACAGTAATATGAAACTAGACACAATACACATATATCGAAGTCATTGGTCACTGTAGTTCTGGTGTCACCATCACCCGGGTCACTATAGTTAGGGGTGATCCACTGATATCACCATCACTAAAACACTATAGCTCTCGCACCTTCACCACCACCACCACCACCATGAGGGGGTCAGAGTGGGACGAGGCTGTCACCTGGAGTGGCCAAACAGTCACGGTTAACTATATTAACTGTAGCCTATACGGTTAATATAGTCGCCACTTTGGCTCTGTGGCGACTTTTGATAGTTGGGAGTATTTTCTTCTTGATTTGCTCCTTAATCTATGAAAATCCGAAAACCCATATCACCTCCCTATATACTCCCCCTAACAATCTGTACAACAGTCGGTGGTGCCTCAGGCGTCAATATCTACAGTAGTCAATGACACTTGACGTCGAGGGGGTTCCGGGGTCAGTGGTTATATCAATGGTTAACTTGAATACCACTCGCTGATACCTTAGGCGTCCTTACCATATTGGTGGTACTTCAGTCGTCAGAACTTTATTATTGGTACCTCAAACATCATTAAATCTACTAGATTTTAATACCTTAAGCTACGAACTAGTTGCTGGAATTCCTTCAAGAATTCACTTTATGACAGAACATTGATTTCGGTGCAAATATTTGTTAATTTATGAATAACTAAATAAATGTAGACTAGTGAGTCATTTCAGATTTTGATTTTGTTGACCAGACCACACACTAGAAGGTGAAGGGACGACGACGTTTCGGTCCGTCCTGGACCATTCTCAAGTCGATTGCGATTCACAGTCGACTTGAGAATGGTCCAGGACGGACCCAAACGTCGTCGTGCCTATACCTTCTAGCGTGTGGTCTGGTCAACTTACTTTAACCACGTTATTGTGACTCATTGCCTGCTTATTTCAAATTTCTTACCTTGAAGAAAAATGCTGTCTCCGTTATATGACAAGATTCTAATTGCCTTTCTGGGATGCACTCACATTTACCAAGACTCTTGAGATCAAAACTACGGCACTTGGCAAGCCTCGCCAAGCCTCGCCGGGGCATAAGCATACCATAAGTGAAGCTGTAAAGGTTCCCGGGGCAAGGCTCAAGGATTGAAGACCGCAAGGGAGAAAACAAATTTTTTTTACGCCAGTCAAACCACACAAAGGAAGTATGAACACCAGTAATATGAATAAATGCCACACAATCCGCGGGGGTCGAACCGCAGCGGCATGTGACCGCCGTTAGAGGCGGGCGGCGTGCAGGCAGTCAGTGTCAGCAGCACGCCACCGCTACCGCCCTAATGACAAGTTGTAACGAGTAATTACTGGCGCCTCATACAGGTTATTATCATAAATCAAAACTAATCTGCCAGCAGTGAACGCGGCGTTGATTCACAACGGAGGAAGGTAAGATTGAGAAATACCCCGTAACTTATTCCCAAAGGAACTCAGGAATATAATTTACTTACACGAACGCAGGGAGGACAAACATGAATTTACTTACACGAACGCAGGGAGGACAAACATGAATTTATTTACACGAACGCAGGGAGGAC